CAAATCATCAACCAAACTATGGAAATCTCTAGTCTCATAATCAGTAACATCAGTACCATGAAGCCTGTCTGAAGTATTAAGAACAGAGTTAAAGTCACCAGCATAGATCCATGGAGAATGCTGAATAGAGATGTTCCTAATCCCTTCCCACATAGGAAGCCTATCATGAATAGAATGAAGCCCATAGATTACAGTGAGATGAATTTGAGTAGAAAGATCCTTAGAAAGGACACTACAATGTATAAACTCCTCATGAATCTTTAAGACATTGACAGTTACTCTATCTGCATTCCAACCAAGCCAAATCCTCCCTTTAGGAGAATGATCATAATTCCACACCCAAAGCCAAGAAGAGCCAAACTTCTTTTGGTAATTGAAAACATTTTTTATTTGACTTTTGTTTCAAGTAGGCCAATAACATCAACTGAATGAGAATGAAGCAACCTCTTTACAGAGGCAACTTTGCCAGGGTCATTCAGGCCCCTGACATTCCAGATAGAGTAAATCATGACACCAAAGGGGGATTAACCTCACCCCCGCTTGGATTTATAGTGAAACCACCTGCACCATCCATTTCATTTGCAAATAAAGCAACAAAAGCATTAGAGGTAGAAGCAGGCTGATTAACCCTAGTTTGCTGACTTTTGTCTTCCTTCCAACTATTCTCCACCCCTCATCTGAGTTTTGAGAAGTATGAACCTGTGGAGTGATAATAGATTGCCCATGAACAGAAGCGTCAACATCAACAACAGGAGCAGGAGCCTGACTAGGCTTAGCAACCCAGACTTGCTGCTGAGGAGCTGTAGTCACTGACTGCTTAGGAGATGCAGTCATTGATTGCTTAGGAACTGTTGGAGCTTTGACAGAACAGTCATGGCCCACTTTATTGCACTTAGACAAAAAGGGTGGGGTCCATTCATAGACTACCTTAAGTTCCAGAGTTTCCTTCAAGGGGCTTTCCACAAATACAAATTTAGGCAATGGCTTGGTAACATCAATTTCTATTAGAACTCTAGCAAAGGAAACTCTTAGTTGTCTTATAGTACATTCATCAGAACAAATTGGTATATAAAGCAAGCTACCAATACGACTAAGAGTTTCAGGACCCCAGTAATTTAAAGGTAAGTTTGGGAACTTAACCCATAATGGAACAGATCTCAAAATCTCACCACCAAAATCAAATTTAGAACTCCAAGGCTTAATGATTGTTGATTTCCCCATGAACATATGTGGACCATAGTAAAGAATAGTATCCTTATCACTAACTGAGCAACAATTAATGATAAAATACCCATCGTCATGCCAAAATATGTCTGGTTTTTTCACATCATTCCATTGTTGAGCTATAAAACGATGAACAACAGCAATAGTAGGGTAATGACCAACAACATAGAAAACTAAAGCATTAGACCATTTCTTATTACCTTCCATAAGTTCAGAATCCTGCAGCTGAGCTACCTGTTTCCCATTTTGAACCACCGGGGCAACATAGGACGGGGGAGCTCCCTTAGCCGTCAACTTCCCAGAGAATGAACTAGGTTGATCTTCACCATCCTTGTGTAAGTTCTGTTCCGGGGGAGGTATAGAGTGAGAATCGGGAACAGTTGGTTCAGATCGATGAGCAGCAGCTCCAGCATCCAATGGAACAGTAAACCCAGAAACCCTAGGTATTGTTTTATTGGAAATCGAAGATGCTGGTCTAGAAATGGCTTCAGCAAATAGTGCAATAGTTTCAGCATCACTCCGGGGAATAGAACCACAAGATGGATTGACCAGTGCCGGCGCCGGAGTGACAAGCTCATCTACCTCTTGAATCGGGCTTGGAACAAAAGTAGAACCCAAATTCTGCAAAATTGTATCTAAAACTAGATCAGTAGAATTCCTATGTTGTACTACTTGAGGTGTAGAATTGTTCTACTTCTTCTTCTTAGCCATCGGAGATCAAGATTGATGAAGAAACCGATCAAAATCAAAGAACCATGGAGAAGAGAGAGAAGAGAGAAAGTCAACGAAAGTCAAACCTCCTTTTCGAATAAAAAACCTTTGTTCGAATGATTCAAAAAGCTTTGTTTGAAGGTTTTGCTTTTGGGTGTTAAGACTAATGTAATAACTATATAGTATGCTATATATGTAAATAGGTAGCAATCTACAATATCAAGTATTAGTTATATGAAAAATCAGCAGCTATGTATATATTATGCTTGAAGATGTAACCGATGTTTTTAGTTATATAAAAATATATAATCGGATTATAGTATATCATTTTCCACTTGAAATAAATATATGTACCATGTAGTTATTCAGATGTGTGGAACAAAAAAGAAAAGTAAAATCCACCAAAAACAATTTATAACCTTTTATATATATATATATATATATATATATATATATATATATATATATATATATGTATATATAAGGGAAACCTAACAACAACAAGGCCTTATTTTAAATTGGTCATTTCATAGGTTTACATTGAAACTAAATCAATGTCAAACACAATAGGGATTCCTATTCTATATTTAATCAAAGCACCTACATCTACTTGAACATTATAGAAATCAATGAACTTACTAACACCATTTCTAATGGAACATTTACTGATAGCTCTATGTTTCTTCAAGACTTTCAGCTGCACATTGAAATGTGTATCGGCAAGCTAAAGAATGACATCGGTAGTCTTAGGGAAATCAATGAAATGCCGTTTAGCAAAATCGAATGGAACATTCTGTCGATGAAAATAAAACACAAAATCAAATAATTATGCTGAGAGAAAGAAGAATAGAATGTAAAAAAAAATACAAAACAAACTTGAAGATAGTTAACAAAAATCATACTATAATTCCTTGATCAACATAAGCTTTGGTAAAAGTGAATAAGAAATGATGTTCACGACAAGCAGCTACAAGCTTGGCAAGGCAAGCATTAGTTTCGACCATTTTAGATGAGAGCCTTTCAATAGCAGGTTTCCTCCCACGCCTTTTACCTGAAGTACCCGAACTTCCACCATATCCATTTTCCTCAACTCTCTTACTTCCCCTGGGTCTGCGGATTTCAACATCAAATGAGTTATCCCCTAAATAAGTAAATATCAAAGCATCACCAGCATCTATACCATTATCCTCTACAAAATCAGACCACGCAGCATCAAGATATGTTCCCCATCCACTACCACACTCTTCATGCACTAAAGTAACAAACATGACTTGTCATTATCATCCACTGACAACTCTATGTTAAAAAAAACCATCATCTAGGACATCCCTGAAGCCATCTGGAATACGTTATTTAGAAGCACACAAGAAACACACACCACAATACAAGCACAAAATCAAAATCCAAAATCAAAATTCCAAAAACTAATCATCAACAAAAATGAATTAAATAGCACAAATTAGCAATAACAATACAACTACAAAAAAACAAAAACAGAAACAAGAATGCATACCAATTTTTCATGTTGTTAAATATCATTTTCATATAGAATGGTAAACGAAAGAGAGATTCTGTCCATGGAAATTTCTAATGTCAGAATACTTAGAACTCGAAACAAATGAATTAAAATGTAAGTATATGTAATAGCTTAACTTAAAATAATTCATACCCTTCACAAAATTATTCAATATATAAGCTAAGTCAAAACTTTGAAACTACAACACCATTAATTAAATTCAAGTCTGAACTAAAACTAACACTTCTACAAGTCACCTTCACAATACAAACGTAACTTCAGATTCCATTTCACCAATAATAACAACAATAAAAACATAAAGTCAAGTAAATGCCATAATAGTCAACTAAATTTTCATTTAACTTACAATAATATAAATAAATGCCATAATCTGTATTCATGGACAAATTGTGATGTGAGATAGAATCAAATAGCAATTACAACATTCATACAGAGAAGAGCAGAAAGACTCCTTGTCAGCACATTCACACAAAACAATCTAAACCAATATTATCTTCTAAAACTAAGAGTTCTGCACCCGAATTAGAAATCAAGGGCTACCAAAATCAACTCTTTTAAATTATCTACAAACTCAACAAACAACTGATGTGTAAAGCAAATTAACTTTACAAATTTGGATCCTTTTTCAACCAGTATCTTGCATTGATTAGGCCTCACACTCTAATTATCAAGCATTCATTTTTAGCATTACCTATCAACAAAACTTTTCATTAAGCTTAACACTCTAAACTCCTTGTCTAACTTATAGCTTCTGACTACTGCAATCAGACAACGGAAAGAGGAGCCTAAGTTGAAGATATTAACACCTTTGACAAGTTATTTTAAAGACAACTAAACAGTAATGTTTTAAATGTCATAAAAACAACCTAAATGTTTGAAATGATTTTAATATTTCACTAAGTTTTTTTTTCCTGATTTGTGCATGAATTTAGATTACTGTCCTATATGTGATTTTACTCATATTTTCTAGCCTTAAACTCTGAAAACTAGCAAACTAACAAGCCACAGTATATACCATTCAGACATAAATTTTCTGATATTATACTCTCTAAACACCTTGATATTTAGCATTTCCAAGTTATTACTCGTCACTAACCAACTCTGCCATCTTCCCCTAGATATCTTAATTGCATTCTAAATTATCACTATATCCCTCCCTCTCTCTATCTTAGAACCTCTTTTTTCTCTTAAATCATCACTACATCCCTCCCTTACTTTATCTCACAACCTTTTTTTTCCTCCTTTATAAATTTCTTTTTCTTGAAATCACTAAATTATACATTTCTTCCTTTGTATATCTCAAAAAACTCCTGAATATGGACAAAAAGACAAATACAACAATATAGGTAGTGAAAATTTTAAAAATGAAATATTTGATTAATAAATGTAGAAAAATTTCAAACAAAACTAAAAACAATAAACATCAAGTCATGTAAAACTTAAGCTTTACAAAACTATATAAACAAAAATACCAAAATCATTAAAAATCTTAAATTTATTAAATCATCAGATATAACAAGTTCAACACTCATGCCTACAATATTAATACATCAAGAATCAGTACTCAGTTGTAAATTTATATATAAAACAATAGGATTCCGCTACAAAAGCTCAATTACAGCACCTTCATCAATCTGAACTTCGTACTCATCGATCATTGCATCAACTCCATCCTTAATAAAACATTGCACCATTCTTCCATCGTAAGTCTTTATCATCAATTTGGCTTTGAACTCTGTATGATAAAGTCGCATCACAACATCAGTCGTTTTCCTAAGTTTACAAAAATGCTCTCTAGCAAAATCCAATGGAACATTCTGCATCACAAAAACGTGTCATTGAAAAAAAATATATGATTGACTAAAACATAAACAAACTACATTATAAATTCAATTGTCCAAACAACACATACAATAATTCCATTTGAATGGTAGCACTCGGAAAATACAAAATGAAAATCTGCCCCTTCACAGCTAGCTGACACAATATTTGCCCAGGCATTCACCTCAATCATCGAAGACGACGAACCTTGAATCAGAGGCTTTCGCTCACGTTTTTTTTTACCATCCTTACCCAAAAAGACCACAAGACCAGAAAAAATATATAGAAGTATTCAATTTATATCCAGAATTTCAACTAACAATACAAGAGTTTAAGCATGAGTCAAACATGCAATTAATTATAATAACATCTCCAACATAAATATTTGACTTATGAACTCATGGAACCTGATCACACTCATCTAAAGGCATAAATGTAAGAGTTTTTGATTCAAACTTTGTAGATTGATGAAACTTAATCAAAAGACCTGAAATTTAGGAAAAGACCCATTTTTTTCAAAGGCTGACATTCTATACCTAGCATCAAGTTCCATGGATCCAACATTAAAAGTCAGACAAAAACATGCTACAAATATTAACCTTTCAAAGCTTTTATAACTTAGTTTCTCTAGAAGCATGTATAGCATTAGACAACCTTTGAATTGTGTCACCACTAAAATTTCTGATCCAACACTTAAGAGTGCTCAAATAGTCTAAAGTTATTAAAGCTTCTACCACTCCGCCACAATAGTTAAGTTAGACCTCATTTTTTATTCCCTCGACACTCTCATCAGTATTTTCAAGATAGTTAATCACAACATAAATTTGCTTGAAATGCAAAATGATCCTAATAAGCCATACAAGTTCAAAACAACAAATCTTTTGGAAGAAAAATAATAGTATTCCATGACAAAACCAATAACACATCTCAAAATACTATCACAACACACAATGTTACAAAAGATTCATATATTATTTTTAAAACAAAGAAACAGAACAAAACAGAACTCCAAAAACAATAATCTGAATATTAACCATATTTCATTTACTAGAATTTTCAATTACAACCTACTACCTAATAAAGCTATATAGATTTACATCTAATAAACTAAAAAGATACTAACAACTTCAAACTAATACAAAAAACTATAATCTAAACTTCAAAAGCTTGCCAAAAAAAACCCCCTAAACAAACTACTACCCGAACTACTAGGGCGAGGGAAACTTGAATACTTCCGAATCTACATTGGAATCCCCGGGAGAGTAATGATATATGTTATCTCCAAAATCATCCTCGGAATCTACATTAAACTCCCCAGGATCCACTTCTTGTCCCTCATCATCATCATCCCCTGCCTCTTCTTCAAACACTTCCCCTTGAACCTGCTCTTCTTGAGGCTCACCCTCCTCGTCCTCTTCATCTTCTTCTTCCTCATCTTGTGCCTCATCCTCATCTCCTTCCTCATCTTCTTCCTGTTGCTCTTCTACTTCATGCTGAACTTCCTCATGAACCACTGGTGGTTCCTGTGGTTCCTGATGAACCACCAAAGCAGCCTGATCAGCACCTTCCCCTTGCACTGTAATCCCCCGTATTTTTAAATATTTTATAAATGAAAATTTATTTTATTTATAATATTTATGTGTTATTTTTCATAATTTAATTTCAAAAGTTTCAAATTATTAATTTGGGTCGAAAATTATTTGAAAAATTATTTTATGCACCTTTATTCTACAATTTTTGACCAATCACACAAGCCTAACCCATTTTCTTACTTAATCGACCCATTATTTTTATGAGGCCCAATCTTTCTTTTTACCCTACAATAATTCTCTCCAATAAATACCCCATGAATCTCCAAAAATTTCTCACACAAAAAGGTTAGTCTTATTTTCATCCTCCTTTGTTTCATTATTTTGCTTAATGTTAATGTTAATTGTTTTGGGTTTTGATTTTAGTATAAAGATTATATTTTTAGTATCAAATTATATTTTAATGGTATAAAGATTATAAATTTCAGATTATATTTATGTTATAAATTTCATACTTTATGAATTATAAACCTAGGGTTTCAATTTATAGAAAATCATGCATATTGATTTTAGGGTTTTTATGAACAATTGATTTAGGGCTTTTATAGTAATGATGTTTTGAAATTTTGGTGATTATAACTACCGATTAGTTTAACTTAATTCCAGATTATTTTGAACACGTAGATTCGTGTTTTAATTTTTAGATTTTCGTTCGTTAATATTAATCCCGTTTTAATCCCGATCAGATTTTGAACTCATTCGATTTTGATGAAAAGGTAGTGTTTTCCATGTGGAAACAACGTTTTAAGAAAGAATCACTACCAATGGTAGTGAGGGGAGCACTACCCTCTCGTGGCCAAATTCAGCCTCTAAATATGATTTTCGGGCAGTTTTTTATTTTAACGAAGTTTTTTTATAATTAAAATATTATCCTTGAGTTTGATTGATAAAATTAATTATGTTCAAAGTTAATTAAGCATAATTATATGTTTTTTATTGAAGTTTTAAGTGTTTTAAATAGTTTCTAAGAACTACTTTTGATGTTTTATAAAGAGGGTTTAATCACCCATTAAAAAGGGAGATTTTTAGGGGTTTTTATATAATTTTTAAATTTTTATTAGACTTTGAACTTGCTGTAATTTCATGTATAAGAGTGTATTTTAAGGTTTTTATGAAGAAAATTTAAAGAACTATATATAAGCCTTTAATTTTAACTAAAGGGAAGGTTTTAAAGTGTTGTTTGATTTGGCTTTTGAAGGTTTTAAAGTAAGTTAGTATTGCTGTAAATTTGATTGATTGGGTATTGATTGAGATGTTATTATTTGGCTTAGGAGAGAAGTTTATTGAAGGTGATTTCTAGTTAGTAAAGTGGCATACCAATTCGTTTGCTCAAGGTACGTACAAGTTACGAAACCTTTCTTTTAGGTGCATGTTTAAGGACGACGGATCGAGAACTTAGTATCATGTATAGGGATGATTGAGTTAAATTGTTTGGTTATACATTGTGAATTTCGTATGACGTGCACTATTTTATATTGCAAGTATTATTTGTGCTCTAATTATGCAAGGTGCGCTTAGAGGCAAAGGTATATGATCGGCGTAATGATTAATTTATTACTCATTCATGATTATGCAAGCAGGATGAGTAAAGGAAGAATTTAAGTCTTCTAAGACGAGGTTAAGGTTTTGGGGTGCCTTATGCACTCAAGGTGTTTATACACCGAGGTAGTAAAGGAATAAATAATAAATGTTGCTTGCCACTAATAGATCAAGAATTGAAATTAAAAAGTTGTTTTACTTGATTAAATTTGATATTGGATTGATTGTATTGTTATGCATATGAGTCATCACCAAGTCTAAACCTGTAAATCACGTAAAGTGCAAGATGGATGAGCAATAAAACTCTGGATTGGTGCACTTCTGGAGTAATGACAATCAGGGGTTGGGGTACATGGGGTATTAGCCGTGTACTTTTCTCGAGGCCGTCTGATCTACGAGTCTCTTATTTCAAATATTTTTCAAAACTAGGAGTTAGGTGAGATCTCATACTAACTACGGTCACGGATTCGCGCCCGTGGTCGTTGGATGTTTATTGATGTTTCCGAAAGGAGGCACGGGGTTTTTCTTTTATTGATGTTCCAAATGGAGCATGGGTTGGACAACCTTGTCTATTGCGTAATCCAATGAATAAAAATAATGATTTACCTATTATTAATTAATAGTGTCTTAGTAATATAAATAGTTGATTCGTGTGTTGAGTCTATAATTTAATGATGCATGATGATTGATTATTAGTAGCATGTTATGGATTTCTTAATTTATTTTGCAGCTTGTATGTACTCAGCTTTGCTGATTGCGTGCTTTATGTGTCTTTCTTTGGTCATGGCCTTCGCCTTTCAATGACCCTGTGACGATCCAATTTTTACAATTGTAATATTGGGGAGCAGAATTACCACAGGTTCTTACACATGCAGCATTCATCAGGGTTGTGGGATCTTGAGTAGAGAGTTGGTTGTTTGCATTTTATTTCTTTTGCAAGTTTGAATTTATTTTAATTCGATTTTATTCGACACTATTTCTTTTGGGTTTGAATTTATTTGAACACTGAATTTAATCACTTACTACTTTTATTGGGTTTTGAATAAGGGCCTTAATGGTTCCAAGTTGTATGACTTAATTTGGTTTCATACGTTGGTTTTGAAACTTATTTATAACTGATTTAGTTTTTCCGCTGCTATTTTCTGATAAAGCCTTAACGTTTGAACACGTGGCGGTAGCACGCCAGTAATTCTCTTGAATATTGTTCAGGGTCCTCACAGGTTTAAAGAGAGAATTATTGGGGTGTTACATACACCTCCTCAGAAACTCGACAAGGAACCTCTGCAATAAACTGAACATCCTCATCATCCGAGGAAAGCTCCATGTCAACAACCCCACCCTCGACATTAACCACCACACCAGACATCTCTCCTGCGACACCCACGAACCTAGACGCCTTTGACTTAGAACCAACTTCCACCTCACCATCACTACCACTAACAACTTCTATAACACCAACACAGTCACTATCAACCCTAACCCTCTTATGCCCTGATCTTTTTTTTTTTTTCAAAATCCTTAAGCTGAGCCATCTCAGCCTCCAACTCAGCCAACTCCCGCCGTAAAACATCACTTCTCTGGTCAGCCCTCTGTACGGACATGCAAATACGAATTCTCATGTTCGCTTGAAACATCAAGAAACTTTGACGAGGAACCACCATTAAAATCAACCATTTTCAGAGGAACTCAAAGGGTGTCTCTTTGAGATTGTTTTTAGGAAGAAGAATTTCACAAAGAAAACCGCTTAAAAAAAGAAATAAATAGCAAAATGAAACCCTTATGTCAATTTCGTGTCTCTTCATCTGCAATTTGCAACATTGAATTAGTGCCATTGAAAATCGTAATGCATGTTTCTTCTTATTCTGTTTGTAATAACACTGCAAACGTACTACACAATAATAAGAATGAGAGCATTCTAAAAATATATGTACAATCTAATTAGTACAAAATTAGCGTACTACAAAAATATCGTGCCGAAAAATCACTCGGTAACATAGACTTCTAAGTTTGAATGGTTCACTCAAAATTTTAAACTTTTTTCGTCTTTAAAAAAAAGGTACGAAAGTTTCCACTTACAACTAGCAAAATATTTACACACACTTTAAAATCACTCGATTTTTTTTTTGTTTTTTTTTTTATTTTTATTAAAGTAATCATAACTGATACGCACAACTTACTTACACAATACGAAGTATATATTTAACCAATACATCAAAATATCATTATTGTAAGATTGTAATACCACTTATTTTTATAAAAAAACATACTTTATTTCATTATACAATACAAATTATTCCTACGTTTAAAGGAAAACACTAAATTCTCAAAGTATATACAAAAATTAAAACTAAGAAAAACGATCAACAATATCAACACCCGATATTAACACTATCGCGTGCCTTGCGCGCAATGGGACAACTAGTATACTAAAAACTTGTAGGGGCCAATCAACAAAATAAGGGCCGCTGGTTTGGGCTACAGGGGCCGGGTTTCCACCAGCCCCCCTGTAGCTCCGCCCCTGATTTTAAATGTTTATCCAGGGCGTTCGTTAACAAACTTAAAATATAGTTTTATCACTATGGCTTTATTTGGTTCAATATTAGTAAAGGAAAAGAAGAGAAAGGATGGGAAGGGAAAAGAAAGGTGATTTTATTTTCCAATATTTGGTTGATGAAAGGAAATGAAAGGAAGAGAAAGAAAATTACTTTTATTTTTCTCTTTCCAGTCAAATTCCTCCAATTTTGGGAGGAAAGAAAAGCCAAAATTTTGTTAAGAGATTTTCCTCTCACTTCCCTTCCTTTCCTTTAGATTTTTATGTCATTTATTCAACCAAACATGGGAATATGATTAAAACAATTTCCTTTCTTTTCTTTTCCATCCCTTCAACCAAAAAGGGCCTAAAATACGATTTAATTCAATTTGGTTACAATTCGAATCAAGCTGCGTACAGCCCTAGTTTTAGGGGTTTAAAGCATCATAAAACATTCACATTCTGCAGCTTCAACGTTTTTCACTCTCTACCCTCCATTATACTCTTAGCGCCTCCGACGAACCAATCTACATTCTGCAACTTCGAGGTTTTTCACTCCCTCCCCTCTTCTTCTTCTCTCTTGCTCTATGTTGAAATCACTTTTGGTGTATCGATTAGTCAAAGCGATAACATATGAAGTTTACTCTGCTCACAAATTCGATATTGCTTTAACTTGACAAAATTATACGCACAAAATCATATTTGACAAATATATTATACTATCGTTATATATTGAATAGGTTGCTCTTAGTTTTCAGTTGCTATCCCATTGGAAGGAAGATGCCTCCAAAGTCCGCCAAATCGAAAGATGCCCCAGCCGAGCGACCCATTCTTGGCCGATTTTCTTCTCACCTTAAGATGGGAATTGTGAGACTTTTTTTTTCGTGTTCTTTATCGCCATTTTTTAACTTGCTTATTAATTATCTTCAATTGCATCTCTTCTTGCTGTATTCGATTCATTCCTGATGCTTCTTATTATTCTTTTTATTTTCAATGAAGTTTTTATTTATTTTTTATTTTTTTATTTTTTATTCTTTTATATGTTCTCGCTGTTGTTAATCTTTTCCACTGTAATTATGCTGTTTTTATTTTAAGGATTTTGATGCCCTTTTCAGATTTTATTAGCTGATTTTTAGTATTAATGTGACTTTGTATATAAAAACTAATTTCTTAAATTCTGAATTAAAGGATTTTCTAGATGGTTTCAAAATACTTAATGTAATTGATGGTGATTTAGTCGGCTGATGCAATGGTTTAAGTTCATGCGAAAATATAAGATATTTATCACCAAGATTCCCCCTGCTGAGTTAGAACTGCTGATAGAGTTCGCTTTAATCTGATTTCGTAACATTGTATACTTTATAGATCATTATGTCATTGTATGCTGGTTAGTTATTATCTTTTCATGGTTGTATTGCTGATGATATTGTTGATTTATTGTTTTTAGGTTGGGCTGCCAAATGTTGGCAAGTCGACTCTTTTCAATACGCTTACAAAACTGGCAATTCCAGCCGAAAATTTTCCATTTTGTACCATTGAACCTAATGAAGCCCGTGTTAATATTCCCGATGAACGATTTGATTGGCTTGTGCAATTGTTCAAGCCTAAGAGTGAGGTTTGTGGATAAAATGCTGTTCCCTGTAGGTTTTATTTTATGTTATGACCTTATTTATTGCTCTTTTTTATTCTTTTGACGTTTTTTATGATAATTTGCAATAATGGCCTATATGGTAAGAAGCCACATCAGGGTTGGATGTGTGAAGTTTCTCCTTGTGCTATTATGGGCAAGTTTACAAACATTATACCATACTGTGTTACTTGTTAGGGCATTTTTTGATCACGGGTAATACATTAAGGGAGTTTAAAAAGTCAAATTAAAAAAATGTAGGTGTGTTGAGGTGGTGATTAAGGGGATGAGGTTGTGGCCTAGGGAATAAGGTAGTGTTAGTATGTAGGAGAGGGAAGGAAGTTAGTAATTATTAGGGCAATAGTTTTCCATTCTCTTCTTTCTCATTACACTTTCATTACTCCATCCTCCTTACAATCAGATCTTATGACCTTTATTATAGTTTGTTTGAAAATTTTCAACTTATAATACATTATCTTTAATCCCAGCAAACCTTTATATTTAGTTGAGTGATCCATATACCCTTGGTCAATTGTTAAGGCTTTTTAATTTTCAATTTTTTTTCCTCTCATTTTAAGAATTACCAAGTTCCATCATTAATGTAAAGTTAACTAATTTAACGTCTCTAAGATGTATTTTAGCAAATCTTTTATGCGGTCATTTTTGTTTATTCTTTTTAAAATCATGACTTTAACTTTTACCTCCTTTAAAGCACAATTTTGATTCAACTACTTTAAATAATTATTTATTTTATTTACCACCTTAAAAAATGGAAACTTTTGATTTTGCCACCTGGTATCATCTTCATGGTAACATCTTCATGGACGGAAGTTGTTAATTGGTGGTAAAAACAAATGGTTTAAGGTAGTAATAACATTTAAAACATGTAAAGAGAGGGAGAAAGTATGACAAGGATTAATTATTGTGGAGCTGGAGGGTAAAGATTTTATAAGAGATGTCATAAATAAAATAAAACAAAGTGTGTAGAACATGAAAGAATGGCCTAAAACAAAAAGAATGTAGGGAGCACTACCTTAACTTTTTTTCTTTGAATTTGCCACCACTTTATAGTTTATTAGACAAATTGTAAGTAGTGACAATATCTTAACTTTACTCTCTCTTGACACATTCCCCATTTTTGCTCGTCCTACAATACTTGAAACATTACTAAAAATGGAATGAGACCACTAATAAAAAATATTTTTCCACATTTTCTTTCTCCTCACCTACTCCACTCCCACTCCACTCCCTCTCCACTTTGTTGTTTTCTTACTATATAAAAATACAAAAGAGAATCTTTTATACAATAAATAAATATATTAAATGGATCCACTTGTAGTTTTCTTAAACTAAGTGTCCACCCCAATGTCCCTATTATTATGAGACGGACGTAGTATCATTTTTAAGGTGGTAAAATACAAAAATATTTATAATAATAATAATGGGTAATAACACATCAAAATTATAATAATAACTAGTTTTGTGCCCCGTGCGATGCCCGGGTTGTTTATTGAATTGTAAGATAAATTTTTAATCTATATGTCAAATTTTAAAATATATCATTGATACAAAATTAGTTACAAAATGTTCAATTTAATACATTAAAAAAAATAGCAAAAAATAAATAAAATAAAATAAATGTTCGAAGCACGTTGGGTTGACCCGAACCCAAGACTTTGGGGAAGGGTTGAACATTTTTTGATTCGTAATCTGATTTGACTTAATCTGAGATGACTCATGACTCGACCCTAATTCACAGGTTTACAGAGTAATAAAATTCTATTTCGTATTAGATTGTAAAGTATATTATTTTATCATAAAATTCTATCCAAATAGAATTCTAAGCTAACTTTTTTATTTTACAAAATCTATTTAAATCTATCTAACGTGACACGACACCTGGCAAAAAGTTGAAACGCCAAGTGTCGTTGTCCCGTGACCTGGCTAAAAGTTTAGCTTTATGTATCAGTTATATGATTTGTACCTTTGAAATATTGGTATTCTATTGAAAATAAAACTCTAAACTAACAATTCTATCCTAAAATTCTATCCAAATAGAATCCTAAACTAATTTTTTATTGATGAACTCTATTTAAATCTATTCAACGTAGCGCGACACTTGGCGAAAAGTTAGAACGTGAAGTGTCGCTGCCTCTTGATCTGGCTAAAAGTTTAGCTTTATATATTTCTTTATGTAAACTATCCAACGTGACACGACACTTGGCTAAATTTAGAACGCCAAGTGTCGCTGTCTCGGACTGGCTAAAAGTTTAGCTTTATATATTTAACGACACTAACTTACACTAAGAAGATAGCTTTATAAAATCATTGATTCAAAATCTCGTTGGGTTGACCCGAACACAAAACTTTGGGTAAGGGTTGAACATTTCTTGGCCCATAACCTAAAGTGACCCGATCCTAATTGATAGGTTTACATAGTAATGATTATTAAGTATATTATTTTAAATAATTAGTATATCTATTACCTCCAATTTTTTTTTTAGTTGCAACTTTAAAATTATTTATAGCTCACAAATAATACCCCAAAGTTGCAACTTAAAAAAAATTGGAGGTAGTATTATAAATGGATGTTTTACATTTTGAACTACTTCTTTTGCTCCAAAAAATATTATGATATTAAAAATAAATTTATATAATAATTTTGAGAGTTATAATCTAAATTAACATATTTTTTGAATAAAATTATAATTCAATTTGCACATCTTAAATATTGGTATTTATGGAAAATAAAAGTCTAAATTAACAATTTTATCCTAAAATTCTATCCCAATTTGATTGAATAGAATTCTAAACTTATTTATTTATTTATTTTTTATCTTAGGAAATCTATCTAAATCTATACAACGTGGCGCGACACTTAGCGAAAAGTTGGAATGCTAAGTGTCACTGTCTCATGGCCCGGCGAAAAGTTACAAAATATATTTTTCAAATGTACGGAATATATTACTAATTTACTACGAATAGTGAAAGTTTTCTAATTTTCATTTGTTGAATTATAAATAGGAAAATATGTAATGAATGAGAAGTGCATATATCAATAAAATTAGTGATAATTGTGGAGAAAATAGGAAGAGAAATTAGTACTATTTTTTGCTTTACCCAAAATACCAATCACTTTTTAAGAATTACCAAAAATGCTATTGATAAAAATTGCATATTTGAAAACTAAAGATCAAGACAAAATGACTATGTATTAAAAAATTACTCGTAGACTCCATTTCCATTAGAAATCTCTAAAGTTTAAATAAGACAATTCTGGCAAACAAAAGAAAATGGAAAAATTGATGGGAATAATCCCACCTTTTGAGCGTCGGAGATTCATAATCCCACCTTTGGGATATTTTTAAATAATCCCACCTTTGTACCTAATCCACTCCTAATAGTCCCAACCGGTCATGTAACCTGTTATAACAAGTTACATGACACGTGGCAGTCTGTGATTGGTAAAAAAAATAAAAATAAAATAAAATAATTTTTTTGAAAAAAAAAATAATTTTTTTTGGAAAAAAAATTAATAATTAAAAACCAAACCCACCAATTCCAGCCACTATCCCGCCCCTGATTCCGATCCCCTGCAAAGCGTCTCCGAACCAAGCCCTCAGACACGACGCCGGCGAAGCGCCAGACCTTCCCCCTCCCCTGAACCACCTGAATCACCAACCCCCTCCCTCACCCACGATTCCATGAAACTCAGGCACGTTTAAACCACCACCACGCCTCCCTCCTCTTCACCTCGCCCCTTCCCCGTCGGATTCTGGGCGCCAAACCACCGTACACCTCCCTCCTCTTCACCTCGTCCCTTCCCCGTCCCGATTCAGCCTTCTTCTTCTAAGTCTGGTCTGGTGGGTTTCAATTTTTCGAAATCCCACCATTGGGGTTGGGTTGGTTGTCGTCGGCGTAGTTGTTCAGGGGAGGGGTAGTGGGTTCCGTCCCCTTCCTCCGTCCCAATCTCGGCTTCCCTCCCTTTTCCTCGGCTTCGATTCAGCCGAATTAGTGGGCTTTCGATTATTGAAGGTGGTTTTGGAATTGGTGGGTTTTTTATTTTTTGAAGGTGGTATTGGGGTTGGGTTAGCTGTGGTGGATTGCAGTACGTGGTGGTGGTTTTGGGTCTGGGTTGTGGGGTAGTGGTTTTGATTATGGGTTTGGATGGTGGTGGTTGTGGTGTGGCTGAGGTGGTGTTGTTTTTTTTTTTTTTTTTTTTGTTTTTACTTTTTTTTTTATTATTTTTTTCATTTTGGACAAATCAAATTATGACACGTGTAAAATTAACTTAATAAAAAAATTACCTCTTCAACCGGTTACTGGTCACCCGGGACTATTTTCAGCGGATTGATATTAAAGGTGGGATTATTAAAAAGAATCCCAAAGGTGGGATTATTAATCTCTGACGCTCAAAAGGTGAGATTATTCCCATCAATTTTTCCAAAGAAAATAGAGAAAGTATAACTATTTGCATAAACTCTAAAAAGTACCAATATTATTATTAGCCATTTACATGCCCACTATATAGTTTAAATTGTCCCAAAAGCTGATCAATTTCTAACTAATTTTGTATTAGAGATATATTTTGAAATTTGACGTATAGATTTAAAATTTATCTCAAAATCTAATAAACAACCTGGACATCGCACGATCCTTACTGTTTGTATGATTTCACTATAGCTAATTTTTTTTAATTTTCTTATCAATCATGTACAAACAAATCTGTAAGCGTTTTAGAAACATCACTTTTTTTCAAAGAGATAAGAAATCTTGGCCCGAGTAAACCATGTTCAACAAAGAACTTATAATTATCTTTAATATATTTCAACCAAACACTCTGAAAGGCCTGACCAGCATGTTCATTACATCACACAGTCTCTGAAAATTGCCCCAATCAGTACTAATGTCAATATATAAATTGTTTATGTTACTTGAACTTAACAGGGTGCGATGCCGGGGTTGTTTATTGAATTTTAAGATAAATTTTTAATCTATATATAAATTTTTAAAATAATATATCATTGATACAAAATTAGTTAGGAATTGATGTGATTTTGCTACGATTTGCTATCTAGTAGGCATGTAATGACTAATATTCTAATAATAATGTTGACGAAAATGTTCGATTTAATTTAATACAATTAAAAAAAATAAAAAATTGAACTTGACTCTTTACATAGTAATAAAATTCTATTAGATTGTGAAGTATATTATTTTAACCGATGAGTATGGATTATAAATGTATGTATTTTGCATTAAACTACTTCTTTCACTTCAAAAAATATAATGATATAAAAAATAAATTTATATGATAATTTAATCTTCAAATGTTTGACTTTAACATCATAATAGTTTTGTGCCCTGGGAGATGCTCGGTTGTTTATTAAGTTTTAAGATAATTTTTTTAATCTATGTATCAATTTAAAAATATATCATTGACACAAAATTAGTTAGCAATTGATATGCTTTTGTGACGATTGGCATGTAATGAATAATAATAATGTTGGTGAAAATGTTCGATTAAATACATGAAAAAAAATAACAAAAAAATAAATGTTCAAAGCCCTTTGGATTGACCCAAACCCAAAGCTTTGGGCAATGGCTGAACATTTTGTGACTTGTAACCTGAAGTGATCGGATTAGAGATGACTTATAATCCGACTCTAATTCTACAAAGTAATAAAATTCTATTAGATTGTGATGTATATTATTTTAACCGATTAGTATATATTATAAATGTATGTTTTACGATTTGAACTTCTTCTTTCGCTCCAAAAAATATTATGATATAAAAAATAAATTTTAATGATAATTTTTAGAAATTATAATCTAATAATTCTTTAAATAAAATTATAATTCAATTTGTATATCTGCAAAATTGTATTTTATCTAAAATAAAACTCTAAAATAACAATTTTATCTTAAAATTCTATCTATATAGAATTCTAAACTATTTTTTTTTATCTTATAAAGTCTATTTAAATTTATCCAACGTGGCGTGACACTTGCGAAAAATTAGAACGTCAAGTGTCGCTGTCTCGTGACCCGACTAAAAGTTTAGCTTTATATATTAGTTATATGATAATAGTTTATTATGTCACTTTATACTTTGATAGCTAAATGTTATAATTTTAATTAACCACTAGATAATATTTTAGTACACGGGTCTACTTATCTATCAATCGTACTACATCATAATAATCTCGTAAATAGGTCTTTTATCAGTCAATTATAGAATAATTTATATGATCTTATTTTTATGGATAATACTTTCGTACATAGGTCGTCCATTGGTCAATCAATCATAGAATTGTTAATTTGATCTTATTTTTATGGATAATACTTTCGTACATAGGTCGTCTATTGGTCAATCAATCATAGAATAGTTAATTTGATTTTATTCTTTAGGGATAATATTGTTGTACATAGGTCGTATAATGAAAAAAATCATTCACAAATAGTTAATTTGATCTAATTCTTTAAAGATTATACTTTATTATCGTGTGGAGCTCATCTATTAATCAATCAATCATATAATATATACTACGTAGTTAATTTGATTTTATTCTTTAGGGATAATATTATCGTACATAGATCGTATAATGAACAATCATTCATAGAATAGTTAATTTGATCTAATTCCTTAGTGATTATACTTTATTATCGTACGGAGGTCATCTATTAATCAATCAATCATATAGTATATAGTTGATTTGATTTTTATTCTTTACGGATAATAATTTTGTACTTAAGTCATCAATTGATCAATCAATCATAAAATAGTTAATTTGATCTTATTCTTTAGAGATAACACTCAACTTTCGTTCATAGTTCGTCTAGTGTTCAATCAATGATAGAATAGTTAATTTGATTTTATTCTGCATAATACATTACTTTCGTATGTACATAAGTCGTCTATTGATCCATTAATCATAGGGTATAATAATATTTAATTTATATATACTTTGATCTTATTCTTTAGGGATCATAATTTAAAACTTTGTATTTTGATAGTTGGTTTAGGATTTAAATGTAACTTCTAACAAGTTTGATTTAGAGTTTAGGGTTAGGGTTTAGGGTATAGAGTTTCTAACTTAATTCTTTATTAATTATGATTCATAACTATACTCCCTTACTGTGATGCTAGTTTCTTATAATATTTGATACTTCAATAAGTGTGCTTATGTTTATATTTTGATTAATTATAGAGCGATTTCCATGAATAATGTAAGAAGATAACAAAATTTCATAAATACGCTACATTTTAATAAAATTCCCTACGTACCGTCCACGTCAGTAAGTGTAATTATTATTATTATTATTTTGCCAAATTAATAACAAAACAACTAATTGAATTAACGGTTTCACGTAATACAAAACCGCTAATTAATTTAGTGGTTTATGTACTGTAATATATATTGATTGGCTTGCTCGAGTAAGTGGGTGAAAAAATAACCCGCTAATTTAATTAGCGGTTTCAAGCTGTTAATTCTTTTTAAAAAAAAAATCATGTTTACAAAAGATGACGTGGACCAGTGTTACCCGGAACGCGGGTTGATAGCGCGTTCCCCGTACCGGAACTTCCGTACCCAAACGCGGTACCGCTTTCCAGTTCGCGGTGGTTCGCGATCTAGTTCGTCGACGACGGAGAACCCAGTTGTAGTATGATCTAAGTTGTAGTCTAAGAGTGACAATTGGGTTGTCATTTGTTTATAATTTCGGGTATAATTGGAAGTTTAAAAGACTTTCAAGGTTTCATCAATGGAGGAAGGAGATGAAGAATCGTGGTATGGAAGAGTGATAAGACTAATAACTGATAAGAAAACAAGTTTAATAAAGATTGTGGACCCCTATGTCCTAATGTCCCCTTCTCTTATTTTTTTTTTCTTTTTTAATTGTCTACACAAATACACAGTAACTTTTTTTGTACTGTACTAGAAGGCCTACAGTCGTATAGCCATGGGAATTGAGCAATACATTAAATGCAATTTCCAGCTTTATCTTTTATTTTTTATTTTTTATTTTTAATGTATATATAATTAATTTATGGTAAATAGTGGAGAGTATCAATTATAAAATTATAAATTACAAAGCACTTATAAAACAAATGACCATACGTTCCGGGAACTCTAAAGGCTACGTTCCACGTTCTCGCACCCGCACCAAGTTTCGGAACGTCCCGCATTCCATGTAACATTGACGTGGACAGTAAGTCGGGAATTTTATTTAAATGTATCGTATTTATGGAATTTTATTCTTTTCTAACATTATCTAGGGAAATCACTCTTAATTATTTATTCATCTTCATACATAATTAATTAATAGAGAAAATTGATCAATAATTCTTTATTAAGTATTATTATAGTAGTATGTATTTTATCTTCGTAATATTTACTACTATAGTATTAGCTTTAATTTGTATATTCCTAAAAAAATATTAATTTGTAAGACTACACAATTATCCATGCCTTCTTTCCCAATGACGCAACCAAATACTATAAAAAAGTAAAGCTACAAGCTTAGAGTTGTACACACTAGTACATTGCACAAAGCCAATTTATGTACGATGTTTGGTATTCGACTATTCAATAGTACAAGTTACATTACTAAAGTACAGACTATTAAGTATTAAAATTACTAATCTCTTAAAAAAAGTAGTACCACTACTACCATTACATAACATTATTCTTTCAAAAAAAAAAAAAACAACAATTAAATATAACAAGAAAAGATAAAAAGATAGGGTCCACACTCCACAACTTTTTTACCGTGCATGTACCTTTTCATCTTATTCCTTCTATCCTTTCTTATCTTCCTCCATTAATATAAATCTTAAAAGCTTCGATTAAACCTGAAATTGTAGACAAAATACAGTTGCTAGTCCTTGCTACTCAAGAAAATTGAAGGTTCTTGCACCCACAAACGGGTACTCCATCAACGACGTTCCAGATCGCGCACCACAACGAACCGGGACGAGTCCGTACCGCGTTTTGGGACATACGACCTGGTACGGGGAACGCGCTGCTGTCCCGCGTTCCGTGTAACGTTGGTCTAGGGACTAGGGATGAATAATTATAGTTCTGAAAAGCCATATTAGAACCGACTATATGATGTGAGCAAGCATTGCCAACTCAAAAATAATTTATTGTTCCACCATAGTTGCATCAAATTGATGAAAAACCCATAACAAAAATAAAAGTATAGGAGGAGGAGGATCTTGTTGGTGTTAAATCCTTATAATTAGGTATAACCTCATTCCATTTACTAATACTTTTCCTCTATTTTTTTTTGTTGGCACGTTTAGCTCTTGGCACTATTCACATATTCTACTTTTACTAGCTTTAGTGATTATATGTATGTTTAATCTAGTGATTTGAAAACTTGTAGAATTGTCTCAATGTATATTTTTATAGCATCAAATTTTTAATTTTTTTACTGATTAAATGAAATATTAATTGTTGAACTCATTTGTTGGTAAATGTGAATTAAGAAATGAGGAAGTACTTCAGGAGTGCTTTTTAAACTAGATTTTAATCAATCATTGAGAAATTATATTATCTCTTTTGATTTAGTAGCTATAATACTTGATTATTTCTTTAGGAATTTGGCATTTAGCTATATTCATTGTTTGTTTTCTCTCTTTTCTCTTGCTCTCTATCTCACACACACACGCAATTTCACTTTGTAATGATTAGCTTAAAATTTTATACATTTGTTTCTTTTTCTTTTTTCCCTTTTATTGTGTTTCAATGTTCCCTATTTTGGTGTTGTTTAGGTATCAGCATTTTTGGAAATTCATGACATAGCCGGACTTGTTCGAGGTGCCCATCAAGGAGAAGGGTTGGGAAACAATTTCTTATCCCATATTCGTGCGGTGGATGGAATTTTTCATGTTCTACGTAAGATGTTAAGATTTTACACCTATATATGGAACAAGCATTTTGATGCTAGTATGAAGTCAAAGAGTATATATATATATATATATATATATATATATATATATATATATATATATATATATATATATGCGTTATCCCTATATTGAACTAGCGCTCTAGAACGTACTATATATCATCATGATATAGGGAATTTATCCTTTTGCTTCTGTTTTAGGTATTTGTCAGTCAAAATACTCTAAAGGGTGATTTGTTGCTTTATAAGATGCATCTGTAACCGTGATCCCTGTAATAAAATATGGCTCCCATATTGTTTCCACACTTTCCAGTACATGTTGCTGACTGTTCCTTCCCATGATATATGATGTCCTGTGAGCACCAAAAAAAAAAAAAAAGAAGTCATCACTTAAGTGCTAAAAACACTTGAAACTCTTTCTGAGACAGCCTTTGGATGCTTTGGAGGTGATTTCCAGTTTCCCATTGCCCTCCTTATTTCTTAAGTAAGGCCTTTTATGGACGTGATTTATTCGACTAAAATGGGGTTCCTAGTTTTTGGGGTTGTAATCCTCGTCTTGGAGGATTGGGTTTGGCTGTTTTATTGCGAAGTTTGGTCTGAGCTATATGATCTTCATAGGAATTATCAGTACACTGTTGGCAGAACCTGTTGCTTCCTACAGGATTCCAATCTTGTCCCTAGTTAGTTCTCTAAGTGGGTATCTAAGAGAAAAATGCCTTTTTAACTCCTTTTTAAAAGAACAGATCGATTGTTATTTTGATTTCTACCCCTAAAGGCCCTAACTAATGTAACCATCTACCCTTAATCATGTGGCTGTTTGGTAGTTTTTCTTTTTTCTTTTGTTCGGGAATATTTGTTTTAGGGAAAATATCCTTGACTTCCTTGGGAATTTAGTTTTTATGGATTATTGACCTTCTCATTCCGTAACTTCTCTGACGTGAGAGTATGAGTGGAAGTTAATACCTCCAGTGTTTTTTCTTGTAGATCCTTCTGATAAACCTGTAAAGCTTCATGTCTTCCTCGCTTTCTTTATCCTTTATTTGATTAGAAGGCTTAAACTATAATGAACATTTAGGTTTTGTTTGGATTGCCGCATTGGATAAGCTGAAACCATTTGACTGGTTCATCTGACATATTCTCTTGTATCTCATCCGTTAGATCCTTATTAATGTTGCATATTGTATTCTTATTATTAGCAGCTGGGTTGTGAAGAAGGCTAGAACCTTAAAGTAGGCCAAGGGTTCTGTTTTTAACGTTATGATTTTTGCACTTTATTAGCTAGAATAGTAAAATCTTGCAAAACTACAATCCTTCTAAGGCACTATGATGTATATAGAGTTTTTGCATTGTTTAAGGTATTATTTTACGTTAGAGGCGAATTTCTTTTTAATCCATCAAACATGCTTTTCTGCCTCCAGATTCTCTGTCCAATTAGGTGGTAGTAAGGATCAGAAGTTTGGTGGTAGTAAGGATCAGAAGTTTGGTGGTAGTAAGGATCAGAAGACTGTATAAGACTATAATTATGTTTGATGGGATAACAAATTAACAAGGCATGCCCACATAGTTAACTATAGAGCCATCGGGTAGGCTCTCATATCTCCTGTGGGATTGCATGTTCATCCTATGATCACATCCTTCACATGTTAAAAGTTATCTTGTATTTTCTTGTTCGGATTAGCAGCAGGATTAGGATGGTGTTCTTCCTCTTTTTCCTCTTTTTGCTACGCTTATACTTTCTCCATTTGTTTTTAGTTGATATATTTCCTTAGTCACATTTACCAATCCATAAATTCAATCATTACTATCTTTAATAACAAAGATTGAAAAAGTTTATATTTTGAAATTATTTATCAAGGTGAATCTAACAAGACCTCGTGTGACTATGCTTTTCATTCTGAAGTCACAACCGTCTCAACTAAAGCGACAAAAAAAGTATATAATTACCAAGTGTATTCATTGCCCTAAGTACAAAATTATTTTTAGTTTAGTTCAAAATAATGAAGCTTTGTAGTGACCAATTATACCTACTTATAAATGCAAGTTTATGATATATGAATACTAATCAATCTTCAGTATGTGGAGAGAGATTATAGAGGCATCAAACCTATAGTAGGGTGCCAAACTCAATTTCTAAACTGGTTGTTGGTTTTATTTTGTTGTTAGGTGCATTCGATGATCCTGATATAATTCATGTTGATGATATTGTGGATCCTGTGAGAGACTTGGAGACCATAAGCGAAGAACTAAGGCTGAAGGTATATTTTCTCAATCTTATCCGTCTTTTGTTGGTATTTTTGTTTGCTTTTGATTAAATTGGTTTTTGAGCTTCAAAGCTTCAATTCAATGCTTTTTAGGCATTTGGAAGCACTTTGCTTTTTATTACTGCATCTTATGTGAATTTTTTATGCATGCACTTTCTTGTTTTTGTTGTTGTTGTTGCCTTTTAAAGAATGATGTCAAATCTAACTGTTGTGTACTAAAGAAATATGAGCTATAATTTTTAACTCAGGAAGGGGAAGGATGTTATTCTCTAATAATATTTGATGTTAGCTGTTATGGATTTGTTTGAGCTATTGAACATGTATGCATTGGTAAACATATGGTTATGCCTAAACAGAGAGGATGAAAATGAGTCAATGGAATATTGGTCGATGGAATGTAAAGTTAATCATAAATAGTTAACACAATATTTAATACTCTAAATATATGAGATCTCTTTAACTCAACTTGGGGTATCTCTTTTGCTATATGGAACGGAGGGAGTATAATTAAAGATGTCAATGGTATAAAATGTACATTGGCTAGCATGAAAACTCCAATGTCGCAATTTTAAAAAAAAGGGATCAGACTAGCAGACCATATAATATTAGTTAGCTAAGATCAATATATATTGTAGATATAATATTCTAATTATTTGGCAAATCTGAGCATATATATTTTTTATTTGCTTTAGTTTATTTGTTTTTATTTGTAACATGACTTGCCTATTTGTGTTGAAGATTTTGGGCTTCGATTGTAATTTTTTGTGGACAATTTAGGAATTTTAGATGGACATTACTCCCTTCCCCCCTTCATTTATACTTCTTTTATTGATATTAGTTGTATTAATTCTCATTTCTCTAACTTTAATTTCAATTACGTAATTCTTATTAATAAATATGTTTGAAATTTATTGATTTGATATTCTGAAAGAGTATACACATAGAAGAATTAACTATGCGTTTCTTTAATCAAGCCAGGCTATATGAACCAAAAGTGATTATTCTGTAGTCATTCACAAAAATCTTCCTCCTCTATCCCTTACAATCTAATATTTCATTTTCATGCAAATTCATATGCTTCATATCCTTCCTAACTTCTTCCAATCAAGTCAATTTCGGTCTCCCTAACCTCTCCGTGATCCCACTCTTTCACTCTTTGTACTAGTACACCCAACGCAAGCAATTTTGTACCAGTACACCCAACACACTACTTTCTTGCGAATAACTTCGTTTCTAATTCTATCTCTTAGAAAAAACCACACATCCACCTTACCATGCGCATTTCCTTCATCTACATCTTTTAAATGTGCTTCTTAGAAGCTCACATTTTGTACCATAACATTGGTTTTATAGAATTTTCCTTCATTTGTAAATGAATGCTTTGGTCACATAACACACCTTAATCCTTAATCCTGATGGCCACGTCTTGATCAATGTCACCATTCTTCTATCAACCCAAGTTATTTAAAAGTTACTCATGGTCAAATCCTTTCGGTCCAACTTCACTACCTCATCTCTTGTACCCCTCTTAAAGTATGAATCATTATTTTATTTTTTTGTTTTTTGTCTAAATAGTGTAAAAGTTAAATTGTTACAACTATTATTAACTTAGATATTATTATAGAGATTATAGTAATTGCAATTGTAAGTGATGTTGTTACATTTTTGTGTCTATTTGTTACTCTTTTTGTTTGTGGATACTTGCAATAGTTGCCTCTTTTGTCCATTTCTAAATACTTACAAAACTACCTTTTTTGCATGTACTACTATTGTTTTTATTGTTTCTCTCACTAACCCTCACATGCATTACTTTTTTATATTCACTTCTTCAAAAACAATTAAAAATACCCCCATTAACCTTGCATGCACAATTCATTATTCATATTTATAATATACCTACGATTCTTCTTGACATTGTGTGTACACTTAAGTGTTGGCTAGTATTCAAGAATGGGGAGTAGAGATGGCAATGGATCGGATTTGGATCGGGTTCACCCGCATCCATACATTATCCTAATTGCTCCATCCACATCCATCCGTCATCCGCTTCATCCACCATCCATATCCGTCGTTCCATCATCCGCTGATGAAACGAGTGGAGCGGATGACAAATGGATGAGTACTAAAATGAAAAAAACTCACATAAACTTTAATTTTCGGTTATTTATATAATAATTTTTTAATTTATTAATAAAAAAGAAACAATAACAACATATTGTTTGAAAAATTAATTTGCAACAAAAAAAGACAAGTAATTTTCTTGCACATTCTATATTTTATTAGTAAAATTCTTTGATTAAAAATTTAATATATGTTAAACGAATGGGTGGATGGTTAGTGGGTGAAAAAAATATCATCCACATCCAATCCGATCCATCATCCGCTTCATCCGTCACCCGCTTCTCATCCATTTAATTCGGGTTTTCGTCCATTTATTTTAAGCGGGTAGAGCGGGTTAGCGGATATCCACTTAATATTGCCATCTCTAATGGGGAGTGTATGATGTAATGTGTAGGACTATCAATTGGGGACATTTAATGATTTATAATTGTTTGAACACATTTATGTTGTGTTATCCCGACACTCTCCTCTACTAAGAGTATCGCGTGTCGAATTGACATGATGCTCGCGTACCGTAGAAGTGTCTTTGGAGTGTCAGGATCCTTCCTTAGCATATGTGTTTAAAAATCGACTGAGATAAAAGTTTAATGTTGAAGATGAATTGAAAAATCTAACGGAATACTTTGTTTATTTATTTTATTTTTATAAATGGGGTACTGTATTTGGGTGTGGTGTGGACTTCACTTTTATTTGAAGTCAATCGAACCCCACCAGCTACTCAACATTTTATTTTTTTTTTTTTTTTTTTTTTTTTTTTTTTTTTCACGTGACTCCACACTTTTTTCCCCCTTTTCAATTACTAGCACAAAGAACCAGAGGAAGGTTAATATCAAAAAATTGGATAGTTTAACTATTTTTTTTTCATGTCATTTTTTATAATACTAGAATTTTTTTTCAAAAATTTTCTGATACTTTATATACAAGCCGTGTCTAAAAAATTAGTCAAGACGCTTGTTTTTGACCATATCCCCGTATCTGCTATTTTTGGATCCATAAGTTCTTAGTGTTCCTTAATTTTAACAACCTTTTTCTTCTTCTTTTTTTGTTGTGGTTTTTGTTGGGAGCATTTAAAGCCCATAAATGTTTGATTGTTTTTTTTCCTTAAGAAACATACACGTTGATGTGGATTTAAATCCCTTAACCCAATAAAGTTTCTAAAATCACACGCGTAACACAAACCTTCCGAATTCCCTTAGAAAATCGAACAAGTTAAGAACAACGAACCGGATGACTTGTAATCCGACCACTCTTGGAACGAATTCAAGACTACTCAAATTACTTTAACTACTCCTAGAACTAAGTTCTTTGATGAACAAATCTTTGACTACTCCTAGAACTAAGTATTTTGATGAACAAATCTTAGACTACTCCTAGAACTAAGAATTGCACGTTCTAATTATCAAAACAACTCCTTAAATTGAATACTGGCAAAGAAAAGTTTTAACAAAACTAAACAAATTGTATTGAATTTAATCTGATTTTCTATCTACCTAAAAGCCACAAAATTTCCCTTATTTATAGGCAATAGAGGCACTATTTCTACTCCTACAAGGATTAGGACAAACCCATAACCTTGTTCCCCAAGTATCCTTATAGAATAGAGTTACTACTTCTAACTAGAATAGGAAACCTAAAAACATTCCTAATAACCTTAGGAAGTTTATAGCAACTAAATAACAGAGTTAAAACTAATTCTAAGTGCTTAAACCAAGAAAAATCCTTTCAAGTGAAAGGTAAAAACTTGCAAGCAAAACTCTAGAAAAACTAAGTATTAAAAGACATTCATTTCATGTCGCTGCCGTTCCACCACCACACGCGCCGCCCTAAGTGTCATCCACTGGCCCACGGTGTAGCTGGGTTCAAGGTGGTTTCAGAAAGGTGGCGCGTGTGCCCCATCTTGGCGCGTGGCATTCGTTATCCTTGCCGGAATCGAACTGCTGCACACCTTCTTCCTTGGTGATCAAGCTTTCTTCTTTCTCTATTGATCTAGTGGACCCTTTCTTTTTATTTCTTTGTTTGGGCAGCTTATTATGAAGCTATTTGGACTTTCTAAAAGTGTCTTAGATCCTTCAAAAGAATTATCCCCTTGATTCACATCACATGTCCATATCCTTATCTGAAGGCATCATTAAGTAGTTTAGCAACCTTGTTATATCACATACTACTTTGTAAATTGGGTGAATATAGATGGGTTTGCATGAAGCTCCTCAAATAAGAGTAGAACGTCGTTATAAGCTGTAACAGTTCTCTTTTGTTTGGCTTGGCCCATACTGTGCAAACAAAGGGGAGGTTACTCTGGTAATTTAAAGCAATCTGTCTCTTTCCACCCTTGGAATTATTAATGCAAATGCTTACCCCTTGCCCTCTTTGTTAGGCTCTACTGGTTGCAAAATTTGGGCATTGTTCTCTGTCATCATGCAACGAACTAGCGTGGTGTGTATAAATTAAATGAACGGAAGGTTGTTTTGGATAGATAAAGCTTAAAGCTTGCGTACATCGTTAATGGCTTTAGGCCATCACTCTCCTAGAACTCTCTAAAATAATAACATTCTGCCTACTGTTTCCTTCTCTCCTTTTCCTATTTATACTAAGGCTAACAACTACAAACCTAATAATACTAGACTACCCATATTGCCCATACTACAATTGATAACTACTAACATACTAAACTACCCATAATACCCTCCCCTAAGTCAGTTCATTACACATCACTTTTTACACTGCTTAGTATTGGATAATCGAGCAAGAGTTTCAAAGGAGGCATATTTAGCATGTATAACTGCTGAAAAATTTATTATTCAAATCCAACAAGATGAATTCTATTTTTGTTACTGACATCATATGCTATCTTATGACAGGATATTGAATTCGTGGAAAGAAAGATTGAGGATCTTGAGAAAAGCATGAAGAGGAGCACTGACAAGCAGATAAAATTGGAGCATGAAATCTGTATGAAGGTGTCAGACTTTCCTTACTTTAGTCATACTGTTTCTTAGTGTTATTAGTCAGTATGTTGCATTGTGCTAAATTGACTTTGTTTCTTATGAGTTATATCCTTGTAAGGATATGTTTGTTTAGAGAAATATATGGTTAGCAAACTCACCACAATTTAATTAGAGGCGAAGGATGTGGATCTTCCTAACTGAAATAATTGCCTGTGTAGTGTTTGCAATATTTTTTATATGCTTTTGGAACCTATCTTCTTTATATCACTCTTTCCCTTCTCTGGAAGGAAGATTGTGAAACTGTTTTGCCAAATCTTTGCTCTTAAATATTATGTTTCTGTACTAGCGTCAAGTGCATTCTCTGTTGCCATCTCATATGCTACCTAGCTCTACTGAAGCACAATTTCTGTGTATGTATGGGAAGGTATGAGAATATATTCATTGTGCAATTGGTTTTACAGATTAAAGCATGGCTTCTTGAAGGGAAAGATATTCGTTTAGGGGACTGGAAAATTGCTGATGTTGAGGTCCTGAATACTTTTCAGTTGCTTACTGCAAAGCCTGTTGTTTATTTGGTAAGTAATATTTTTTTTTTTTGCCATAGAAAGTAAGATCTAAATAGCTGTACTATTGGCTCAAAAAAAAAAATAAAAAAATTCTGAACTCAGCTGGCTACACTTCTGCATTCACTTGTCGAGAAAGTAGCAAAAAAAAAAAAAAAATGCATTTATAATTCCTTGTTGATTCTTTTTCTCCACCCATAGAGTAAAATTTGGAATTTGGACTTTAAAACAGGTGATAATATACCTATGTGGGGTCACCCTAGTTGGTAAAGTGCTCATCTTTCATAAATCTTATGAGTTTTATATCCGGTTGGATAGGTTTAAAAATATATGATCATATGAAAATGAGTAGATCCATTATATATGGATGCAAAAGGCCAAGTGCATTGCACTACTCCCTTTTAATGATAAATTGGACTAGTGTCTTGTGCATTGAACTGTTTCTAGAAATGAGTTGAATTATGAGATTGTTAGGGGAGCTGATATTAAGGGTTGCCAGAATGTGCCCATTATTGATAATATCCTTTTTAAGTCTTGTCATTTATTTTTTGATTGCTATCACGTGGATCATCATTGGGAGCAAGCTTAGCAATTTTGATAATCTATAAACTAGGTTATTAATTTTGGAAGAAGGCATGGATGGATAGTGGTTCATGTGAAGTGTAATGGACGCTACATTATATCTGCGAATAGAATAGAAGAATGATGTTTTTTGTATACATTTGAGTAGTGGTTTTTGTAAATAAGCTATCCCCATTCCTATTTCTCCTCAGCAATTTTTAAAGCTTTGGTTTAAACAATTCTTTCTTATTCTCAAAAGCTTAATTTTGTTACTCTAGAAGTTTTTTTTCCCTTGGTGCTGACTATAATTATGGCCAGGTTAATATGACCGAGAAAGATTACCAAAGAAAAAAGAACAAGTTTCTCCCAAAAATTCATGCCTGGTATGTAGCATTATTTTGTTTTTGTGTTGTGCATCTTGCTTATTTTTGGCTATCTGTATTGGTAACATTGCTGTTATGCGTAGCAAACTATGTATGTAATCCAGACATGCAGTTTTTCTGTAGTCACGGCGACAAACTAAACATATTTTAAATTTCCCAATTTCATGGATGCGTGAATGATTAATATACTTGTAATTTCTTGGTTGAAATGTGTATCTATAACTTATTCTATTCTAGACTCACTCAATTTATAATAAATAAATCGAGGAGGCTGAAGATACATCAATCTTATGGGAGGATGAAGTATAGAACATTTAAAAGTGTAGGGCATTAGATCGATCACTGGCGAGTAAATAACTTAATCGTTTTTAACATCTATAGAATCATGTCATAGGGATTAGCTCCTAACATTTCATACACCTCATTGTGAACTGTCTTTCACATTCCTTTATTTTGTGTTTTCTAGTTTTCTTTTTTTTCTCTTGATTTCTGAAAGTCTATTCGAGATTGTTAAATGTAATGTGTATCAAGAATTCATGGAAACTTCCATCCATTTGGTTACTGTCCTTTTCCTATGATTTTAGAAATAAATGTTTAAAACTTTGCTAGGAGATAGGGTTTGAGTCGGGTTTGGATCCGAGGCCAGGCAAAGAAAATTCTAAATCAAGGACATTAGGGAAATTTTATTTCAAAAACAATTTACAATAGTTATGTTATGGAATGAAATTGATTTTATTTAGTTCTTCCATTCTCAATTAATTGCAACAATCAAGATTTTACACTTTTGCTAGGAACTGATATAGCTTACTGGACTAAAAATGGTAGCAAATTAAGAAGAAAATGATGATTATATTCCTATAATGAGAATTACAGTAAATCGAATGATAATTCCACTTTCGAGAGGTAGATTATTTCATAAGTATGAGCTTTCGAGAGACTCACTCTCTACTCTCTCTCAGCAACAAACCACTTATATTCAATGTGTCCTCTTTCCTCCTAATGAGACCTATTTATAGAAAATCCCTCCAAACAATTCTCTAGCTTATTCCCCAAGTAACTACTAATAGACTATGATTAACATGCCCTCCCCTAAATATTGATTCCTTACATTACATTCACGCACTATCATGTGTCAATCTAATGTGATTTATAGTCAAGTGAGGTCATGCTAGCTCATCAAGCAACTCGTCTATGAAGGGTATAGGGTATTTTTCGGGCACAGTTTCTTTGGTGAGGGCCCTATAATCAATGCAAAATATCCACAAACCATTTTTTTTTTAACAAGGAGGACCGGGCATGAAAAAGGACATCAAGAAGGCTTGATGATGCTTGCCTCTTAACATTTCTCGAATGAGTCTTTTGGTCTCATCCTTTTGTGTTTGGGGATAACGGTAAGGGCGTACACTCATCGGATCACTTCCCCCCCCCTTGAGTACAGTTTGGTGTTCATGTCCACGGTGGGGAGGCACCCTGTGGCAGGTTGAAAACCTCCCGAAACTACTCAAGTGTGGCTGCTAGGAATTTCGGCACTTTAACCCCTACTTCCTCCTTATCTCCCTCCAATTGTGCCATCTCCACCAACACCCCTTGTTTCTCCCTAACTAAGGTGTGAACCATAGCCTTAAGAGAGATCTGAGCACTCTCCAATGTTGGGTCGCCCGTGAGAATGACCGGTATACCACCAATTGTGAACCTCATAACAAGGGTTTTCCAGTTTGTGGTGACGGAACCAAGCTTTTCAAGCCATCAAATGTCTAAGATGACATCAGAGGGGTAGAAAGTCTTCGACAATGGTAACCCCACCCTCAACTTCACAACTTCACAACTTCACCTTGACACCTTGGCATACTCCATTCTCCTTAATTGTTTCACCATTGCTGAGTGCCACCCCAAACGGCCAGCTGTTGGTGGTTGGTAATTTGGTTTTGTTTACCGCCACGGAGATTAAATTATGCATGGCTTCGGGATCCACCATAACTATCACCTCCTCACCATCGATTTTGCCCCGCATTTTCATAGTTTTAGGATTAGTTAATCCCACCACGGAACACAAGGAAACCTCCATCGACGCCTCTTCCTCACCTTCTCCGCCATCAATTTCCACCCCAATGCCCTCGTTGGCCACCATAACACGCTCATCTCTCCTTTTGCAATGGTGGTTGACACCCATCTTTCATCACCTCCGAAGCACAACCCCTTTGCTCTTTTCTCCTGTAATTCCGCCTCAGACGCCGAGGTGTAGTGGAATTCTGGTTGGTAGAGCTGATAGTTTGACTACTGACTCCAGTGAGCCTTGAGAGGATTGTTGTTTTGGTTTGGCCAACTTATGATGGTGTGGGTTGCTAGCGGTTCCATACACTACCAGCCTTTGAAGTCGAAGTTGATGGGCCTATGGAAGTACTGGGTTAGGCTAGCCATCCTCCAAAATCCACTCCCTCCTCTCTTCATGTGATTAACCCGATTTCTCCCCTCCACTTGATGCCAGATTCGTCGGATCTAGCAATCGGACCTCTTCCTTTATATCCTCCCTCAACCCATTTATAAATTGCCCAAGAATCACGTTATATGAGATATCCTCCAAAGGTGCAGCCAACACAATAAACGTTTGTCGGTACTCGAAGCCACTGGTCGTGCAACACCCTCTTTGAGGTTCTCCCATGACCGCACCGGTCTTCTCTTGTTCTCCCACCGTACCATTTCCGCGCGGCTCCGTCCATGGCTACAACTGCCGCCTCCATTTTCTCCTTCTCGCACAACCCATAGAACTCGAAAAACATTCGAGCCCTCGAAATCCAATTATCTGGATCGTCCCCGTTGAACAACGGCATCTCCAACTTCCTATGCTTCCACCATCCTTTAAAGCCCCTGTTTCCCTATTCTTCTTCGTTCCCATCTTGGTTCCATCGATTGTTGTTTTGGTTTCCTAAAGCCTCTGCCTCCTCAAAGAGGGTAACCTTGGACGCCCATTCTTGTTGGAACTTGAGTTGCTCTACCTTTTCGATATTTCTCTCAGTTGTGAGTGCGAAATCGGTCTAACCACCCTTCCAACTTCTGTACATCCTTTTCCGCCTTTCAACCGCTCCAACGGGTTACCCAGTTGTTGTTAAACCTCCTCTAGCCTCGCTTCAGCCGTGTCGCAGCGTTGGGTGGTTGTTCGAGTCATAGCTTCTTCCTAATTTTTTTTTTCATATGGTGGTTTCCGGCGTCGGCAGTCACAGGACCACCGCTCGAGACTCGACCCTCACTTACACTGAGAACAAAAATAAGCAACGAAAACAGAGCAAATAAGGCTGCTAGCTATGGAGTTTCATTCATGAAAGGAATAGATAAAAGGTAGCTTAAGCCTACCAATCTCCAAGACAGTATCTTTAGGATACAAAGCTCAATTCAAATCAGTCTAATCTCATACCCTTTTTCTTGCCCTAACCTCTTAATTTATACACAAGGATTACAAAGTAGTACTAGCTGTCCTTAATTTCTTGTCTTCATTCTCTACCAATGCATTGCCATGGTTCCACTACCAAATTGCTTTTGCCCTCCGCTTCCTCTATTTATTCTTGTCTTCTTGCGCCACCTCATTTGTTGGTGTTGTAATTGGTTGGACAATCTTACCCCTCCTTTGGTTCGGCTTGATGATAGGTGGCTTAGCAAGCCCAACTGCTTGGTCAATTACATGTGTTTGTTTTTGATAAATGAGAGGATTAAATAACGAGCTTCTGTATGATTCGAATGCCTTATTTATTGGTCAATAAACATGATTATAGATCATTAAGAGGGAATAGGTTTGATGCCAAATCAGTGCAAACTTTTATAGATACCTTGTAATTCAAAATTCTATACTTTTGAAGTTCTTATGAAATATACTGCTAGGAGTTTTTCATGAGAAAATAAGTTGCTTGGGTAATAATTGTTTCATCCTGAAGGCAAGTATTTAAAGATTCTGGATCATTTATACTAAAGCATCTTGATATATTACTTTATGTGAAAATTGGTTCATAATTCAGGAATACATTAACTTTTCACCAAAATCTGACGGTCATAGTATAAAAATGCGGCCGATACGTCGCGATTCGGCCGATATGTACCAAAATTCAACCCTACCGATCCGAGTTTTCCCGTTTTGATGCGGTGTTTTTCAAAATGCCGAGATTTTAGCCGATTTGACCGATACGAACTAAATTTCGCCCGCATTGAACCGATATTATCTCACGGCTGGCTAATTTTCAGCGAAGTACTTGCTTAAGAAAGGTAAAGAAAGGGAAAAATGAAAAATAATGGAGAACCTCCATGAAAATCTAGAGTTCTCTTCCTGAACACGAAGAGGAGAAAGAAGAGTGAGCTGGCAGGGTTTATTTATTTAAATAAATTAATAAAGTGGGTAGGTGGGGATAGTGGGGCATGTTGTTTTTAGAAAAGTTAAACATCCTCACGCGGGTTAGTAAGATGCCAAGTTTTCAATTTAGTACTACTTTCGTATATTGTATTTGTATACTACGCTGTGTACTACTCCTAACTTTTGAAAGTGAAATTTGACTGTCATTTGGGAAAAAAGCCTTAAATTAAATTGATTAATTATAAAATTTAAATATTAAATAAAATAAAATTTTAAAATATTTTTTTTGGTTTAAATAAATTTCAAACAAAATTTTTCCGTTACAACCGCGACCCAACCCGCGACTAACACATCAATCCCGTTACCGTGATACCGCGACCGTTTCCACAATCGCGACCGATACCACATTTTTATTCTATGCTTGAAGTATCGTTATTATAGTAGATCTTATGTTTCATGGTTTTAAATTACTTTATTAAGATATAGCCTTAGTGACATGGCCCTACTCATATCTTAAGTTTGGAAGTCAAGACGGGAACCTTAACTAATTGGAAGCTCGATAATACCTCTTTTAGTTAGGGCATATGGTGTTGGTCATTTTTGCAGCTTTTTCCTTATCATATGTTTCATTATTAGTATGTTTTTTGTTACTTGCAACTTGTCTTATTTTGCCAATGCATAACTTTAATCGTTTATATCAAATTATAAAAATTAGATTTTAATAAAGCAGACATTGAAATGAATCTAATAAGATCCCATATAACTATATTAGTTCATTTATCCTAACCGGAAGATGAAGCTGGGATGACTAAACGAATCTCCGAGATTTTTGGAGTGCTGGGCCTGCTGGTCACTCAAGTGCATATGCTCTTTGATTAAATTTATTCCTTACTCTTTCTGTAAATGTGATTTTGGTTGGTCTTATTATTGTGTTGTGCAAGGGTGTCTGTGCATACATGCATAAGCCACATATTTGGTGATCGAGTTCTTGTTTGTGTATGCATGAACTCATGCACTTAAATTTATAAATTTATTCACTTTCATTGTTGTTGCGGCAACCAGGGTGCAAGAACATGGAGGTGAACCAATTATCCCGTTCAGTGGCATTTTTGAGAAAAATCTTTGTGACATGCCAGAAGATGAAGCTGCTAAATACTGTGAAACAAACATGGTTCAGAGGTTAGTTTTAGTACTGTGTCCCCCTCATTTAAATAATAGAGAAACAAATTGGTTAAATGTGCAATAGTAATTGATGTAGTTATTGCCAGAAATTATTGCTATTGTTCTATTGATTTAAGTGTATGACGATTGCATGTAAATTTGGATTTTTGATGGGAACGTGAAAATAATAAGGTGTTTTATAATTAATTTTTAGAAATGTAATTAGTGTTCATAAAAATACTAATATTTGGATTTACAATGATAGTGATAGCAACGACTGAAATAATATTTTAAAGTTATTTTTTATAAAATGAATGTTAATTGTAGGGCAAACAATATACTTCGTAGTTTGTTTTAATATTTCATAACATGATCGATTAGTGAGAAAGGGAAATCCAATTTGTATCCTAGCACCTCTTTCTTAGATTTGTTTCCCATTTTCTATCTCAGAAAATCTTGCGTGGACCTGATCCACAATAATATGGACCTAAGATTTATACACACGTAACTGACATATATTCAATATAGTGACCCCTAATTTAATATAGTAACCTTATTTTTAACATGGTAACCTTTTTTAATACTTGTGTTTTCCTCATTTCTTTCATGTTTTCCTGATCCCAAGCATTTTTATTGTTCTCCCACTATTTAACAATAAAAAATAAACTATATGGTATTACAGTGTTACTAAAGTATCGTATAACTGTGCTACTAAAGCATCTCTCTTACTTCCTTGCTTTCCTTATCCCCTCATCTCTCTTCCATCTTCTATTGTTTTGTAATTTTATAAAAAATCTCATCGTAGTTGATCCATTTCCTCGAGCTATGTTCGTAGAAATGATAGGAACAACTCCACCGGCAAATCCAATGACCAAAATGTTAGGCCCCTGTTCAACAGTTTCATGGCATCCTTTGTTAGCTTTCCATCAACATGGTCACATTCAAGACCTTCCAAATTGCCTTTAATACACACTAAACAACTACCTCCCAGCTGCTATGACAATGGCACCACATACCTTTCCTACTTGAACTTATGAAACACCATTTACCCTTGCTGCTCTAAGCACTAAATTCGCAAGGCGATATTAGCACAATTACCTAGAAAATCATAAAAGAATTTTAGTATAGGGGGCATTGCAAGAGACCAGCCTAGGTCTCAGGTTCATTTCACATATGTTAGAAGGAAGCCCAAGCAAGGAGCGGATAAGGGAGAGTGAGCTAGATTTGTGAGTTGGAAGTTAGTTACAGGGAGGGGTAAATCAGTAATTAAGGGAATAAGTTTGTTAGTCCTTGTTTGGTGTGCTGAGTTTGTTTTTGCTGCTTGTTAGTTATTTTTGGGTATTTAAGGGGAAGTTGTGTAGAGGGAATGTATCTAGAAAATCATTGTGGAATTCATTCCTTGGGAGAGCATCCTTTCCTCTCTAAAGAAGGGAGTTGTATTGTGGTTTCACTGATTTGCAATACAATCTATCTGGGTTTGCTATTTTTCTCTCTCTGTATTGTTGCTTGCTCTGTTTTTCTAACCCAATTCCTAGCAGGCATATACAAAATACTACTCCACTCTTTAGTCATATAAGGTTAAAGCTAGGAAATCAAATATAGAGCTCCAAAAATTAGTGTCACAACACACAATCATCAAATTTAGGTGAACTCCACTCTCCACTCTTTAGACTATACCTTCATTAAGCTATGAAATTGGCTGGAAAATTTCAAGCAATTAGAACAATAATACTCTTATCATAATAAGTTAAAAGGTATAATTAGGCAAATTGCAAATCATATAGGAAAAAGAGATATTATTACAAATCTTGCTATGTTTATTACAGCCAATATTGTACTATCCCAATGCTTATAAGATTCAGATTAGCATCCAAAATTATCATGCCATAAATAGCAAATTAAAGGGTTCTAAGCAAGCCGATTGTCTTCCTGTATTTTTTCCAATTTTTCCTACACAAACTCTTGCAAACTTCGCATTATTTTTGTCTATGCTTAGAAAATAGCATACGAAGTGTATATATATATATACACATACAACCATCCAATAAGAAAATTAAGAGAACATGCAAGCTTACAACAAGCACATAAATCATTGCTTATAAACAAAAGATGGATGCATCTCTGTCCTCTAACCTCAGTAGCTAAGATTCTACTTTCTCAGCCAGGCAGTTCCACCAGATGATAACTATACTCCACTTAAATTGAAGAAGTCATTATATAAACCCAATATAATCCAATAAATGTGAATTGCTAAAGCATTTCGGATCCACTAATGGATATTTGAAAATTTTCTAGAACCAAATAAATGCTACTTTTATATAACCAAGGTAAGGCTTTTGTTACTTGGAAAAGAAGGATGTTTCCACATAACAATCAAGAACTATGCAGGTCAGATGATACCAACTAACCATGTGGTCTGTAAGATGTTTGTTGTCTAGATGTTTCTGCAAAGATTTTTGCGTATGAAACCTTGATTTTCTATTACTTGATAGAAAGGGAAATACCAACATACTTAATAGAAAGGGTTAAAAAAACTAGTAATTAACTTTGTTAGGGGAAATCCCTAAACACCTGCAGATCAATAACAGGACTAATATATATGCTTGTTAAAAAATTTACAAAAAACAGCATTCGGACTTGTTTCTTTTAAGTAGAAAATACACAGAGACTAGTCGACTGTACAACTAAAACATATTATACAGTAACTACAGAGTAAGCTAACTTCAACTAAACTAAGCTGAGCATTGTGCAGCCAGCAGGTGTGCATTAGCCATTACGTATAATAATGCCTCAACAACCTAATTATTACCAATTCAAGCCAACAAAGCTTATCATTAAAAACAATTCACCTAAAGAAAAATATCTTCATAATCACCAAACGCAACTACAAAATTTTCAAATTCATTACATCAATCCAAATAATTATGACAGTTCACAAAGCATGCAAATAATTATGACAGTTCACAAAGCATGCATAAAACTGTAAACGATTTTCTGAGTTGGGTCAAGTCTTGTCCCACTTACTCACTTAGACTCACCCTCTTGAATTGGCTAGTATACACAGGTCCTTCCTAATTAAACCCTATGCCAGAACACCACAACTTTGTGCCCCCTTAAAGCACATGAACTGCCAAAAAAATAAAGGGAAGCTTTGATAACATCACTGATTACAAGTATTAGTTATTGAATTCAATTAAAGGACCCGTACAATCTCTGATAACATCACTAATTACAAGTATTGGTTTAATATTCCACAATAGAACACCAAATTAAATATACTGACAATTAAATTGACAGCCTAAGAAAGGGGAGGGAGAGTTGTGAGGAAGCAGATGGAGAGAGAAGAATGAAGGGACTTGAGGCCGGTGGTGCTGGGAGGTGTCGACAAAATAATTAGAGCAGGCAAATGCCAATGCGTGCTATAGCATTTCAGCAAAAATAAATGACGTCCATCCATTAATGATTAGAGGGTAAAAATTGGAATGTAATCGAAGAAGTCAAGAGTTTGAAATATGAACGCCCAACTCCAAGTTATTTCTATTTCGTATTTTTAAATCAATGCCTACTGTATAGAAGAGCTTTGTTGTGTCCCAATAAATAATCCATCCTAGATAGCCCCCCTTGATAAGATGAATTTTCGAAAGCACATTTTAAGCTCTTGACTATTTCCTTTTGTAATTTAAATTCACACAAACTCAATCAAACAAACAATGTCGTAAGATTGGAAAGTGCTACCACAAAAAAATTGATATATTTGACAAAATTGCCTTTGATTTCCCACAAACAACGCAACACAAGTTCCCAAATATCATATTCTAAAACCACAAAATACATATAAGACATAGAAGTTATGACTGGAAGATCAAAGCTATAGTTACCGAAAATGATAGGTCCTAATCCTACATACATTATTCGAATTCAAGATCTGTAATAGAAGATTTGAGCCCAATCAAATTGCTTAAAATATGGTATATTAATGAAAACCACCATAAAAAGAATTAGTAATGCATCATTAGTTAACACATTCAGATCAAGAGGTGAATAATAGAGTCAAAAGAACCAAAGTAAATGCTTCTAACATAAGTATTACTGAGGCATTTACTATTTTTACCAACAATGCAATTATCCAAAAGTCTGTCTCACTACCATACTTTCCAATTTCACAAATCTAATTTCAAAATAGCATGTATGACATAATATTAACGAATTGAAATAACAACATAATCCATTGAAAAAAAAGGACAAGAAAGTACCGCCAAATTTTTTTGCAAAGAAATTAGAATTTCCAACCTTAAAAATCACTATAAAAGTCATATCTTTCGAAGAAATCCCAGATCTTCCCATAAAATCAAATTCAAAATCAGAATACCAACATTATTACCTCATATCAAAGTGATTGTAATCAAAATTTCCGAAATTATCGCTATATAAATCCATTAGTAAATAACAACCTACAAGCCATTTCAAGCAAATATTGATTCAAAATTTTCATTCTATAATAACAAAAACGTTTCATTTGCAAAATGAACTTCACAATCTACGAAATTAGCCGAGAATGCAATTCACTAATCCATGAGACCATCAACAAAAGTAATTACTAATCCAAAGTATACTTGTTTTTTATTATTCTTATTCTTATTATTTTTTTTTTTATTTTTTTTTTTTAGGTAAGTAAACAGTAAAACCAGATTATTAAACAAGCGAGATAGAAAGAGAACCTGTAGATCTCCAGGAAGGTACTTATGCTTTATAGAAAGGTCCATAGCAGACAAAAGACACTGATTAGGAGCGTCAACAATCTCACGAGGAAGTCGATTTAGGGCTTCTTTGATATCACGATGTTCCATTGGACCATAACAATCATCAAATCTCAAACCTAAAATTAAATTAAATAAAAAAACACAAAATCAATCACAAAAATTAGGTCAAAGGCAATCAAAAAAGAGGAGAGAGAAAGAGGAACCAAACCGTATTTGCGAAGACTGTGGTCGACGGAACTCTTGTGCATAGCAGCCAAGACATTTAGGATTAAGAAGAGCCTCTGACAATGAAGATGAACCAGTATCAATCGCCATTTGTGTAGGTTTGCTAAGCTAATTACCTAACTACCTCTATAATAATGAAGGATTTTTCTTGTTCATGAAATTCACCCAATTCTGCAAAACCATCACACTAATTGTCACCTAGGGTGCATTGAGTAAAAGGGGTAGGAAATTGAAGTAATTCCATCCCTTTGTCTATACTGTCAATTACTTGTAAATAGTTGTGAAATTAAACCAAACCCTAGATTGTCAAATTGATATTCCATGATTATTAAAAAAAAAGCTAAAGATCATACCTCGGCTTCAATGAAAAACATGGAATACGTTTTAACTGGAAAAAATGGAGGGAGGAGAGAAGAGTGGAGAGAGAGAAAATGAAGTGAGAAAGGAGATATGGAGTCTGAGTGAGAAAATCGGTTCGAAGGAGAGAGAAAGCAAATGGAAGAAATGAATGGTTGAGCATGAAAAGGGGAAAAGCAAGAATGATGAATAATTGTTGAAGACCAAGTCAATCAACAGGAAATAACAAAATGAAAAAAAAAGGAATGGCAAAAACGTCACTACACTGTAGAATTGAAACAGTAACACGTGGAATTTAAAAGGGTAGAGATTATTGTTATTGTTATTTTTATTATTAATAATCTGTAGTAGAAGTGGTAATTTTAAGAATGATCATTTGGTCTGTTGCAGTGCTATTCCAAAGATTATTAAGACTGGGTTCACGGCTATTAATCTGATTTACTTCTTTACTGCAGGCCCAGATGAGGTAACCATCTTCTATCCACATATTGCTTTATATGATACATTTACAGCTTGTGACTATCTTGTTTTGGACGCTGGCTAGTTGTATATAATTATAACCTATAATGCATTTCCTGTAATAATACGAGTCTTAAGAAGTTGGCATAATAATCATATTAGGTTGAGAAATTTTCATGTATTTTCATTTTTTCATGTTTGAAAATGTATACTCTACCGATTTAATTATGTGGTTAAAAAAACAATCTTGATTCTTAAAATTTTTTTTTTTAAAAAATAAATAAAAAGTTTAATTAAAATCTATTTTCCTTCTTTGTATATCTTTTTCTTCTCTATTTATTAGATTGAAATAATAATTAGTACTTTTAATCGAATATAATAAATATCATAAATTGAATTTGTTTTACAGTACTTTTTAAAACAAATTATATGATGTAAAATTTACAAAATTATTTAATGTGCATAAATAGTTGTAAATCATTTTCAGACGAACAAAATAAAAGGGACAACAGAGAAAAGAAAGTGGAGCTAAAAATAAGGGATGGAGAGAGTATACATACATATTTAAACCATGACACATCCTCGACAAGTATTTCTCCCTCCACTGTGCCCTATACTACATTATATTTCCATTGATTACGAGGACTCATAACATTCTCAATTACCCTTTTAAAGTTTTCTTTAGTCTTTCTCTACCCCTCGCGATCTCAACACATTGCCACTTGGTCACTTTGTCGGGCTTCTTACTAGAGCCTCACTTGATCTCCGTTTCACATGGCCAAACCACCTTGTGTGATAATCCCTCATCTTGTATTCAATTGATGTAACCCTACTTTCTTCCTTATTATCTCATTCCTTAGCCGAATATTTCTTCATGGCAACACATCTATTGCAACATACGCATCTTTGCTTGTTTGAGACATTGAGACACTGCCTTTAATGTTCGACCTCATCTTATGCATGTAACAATGCTTTAGAACATTTCTATTTAGTATATTTTACGTTTTAATCTCTCATACATGCCATGATCGCATAAAAACCTCGTAGCACTTTTCCACTTTAACCAACAATCATGTGTGATCTTCATCTAATTCTCTACCCCTTTGATTAATAAATCATAGATATTGGAAAACCTTGTAAAATCATCCCATCTAAGGTGATCACCCTTACCTTCCTGTTTCTCAATTCACTAATGTACATTCTAAATACCCCATCTTACTTCTGTTACTTTCACGCCACGAGATTCCAAAGTCCGTCTCCTCAATTCCAACTTACTTTCCACGCTTTCTTTCGTCTCATTAACTAACACAATATCATAAGCAAACATCATGCATCATGTTATATAATCTTGAAATAAAACTCCGTCTATGACTATGGCAAAAGTAAAGGAGCTAAGTGTAAAACCTTGATGAACTCCAATTATCACAGGTTTTCCAAACAACGGGCTGCATACTTGCGCTAGCTCTCTTATAGATATCAATACATTTCCGTGGAATGCTTTTGGTACGACGGTCACGTGTCTACCTAAAATAAACCTAACTAAAACCTCCTAAAATGTAGTAGGGTAAACTAGGGTCGATCCCACGGGGAATTGGTTATCAAATTGTCACTTGGGTAAGTTAGAAACTCTGTTTTGAAGTTATAATGATATGATCTAATACATAAACTATAGGATAGAAAATGAATAAAGTACTAATAAAATTGAGATACTAAAAAAAATCAAAATCAAGAATAATGAGATAGGGAATCGGGAGGCATACATTAGTATTGGATTGTTAATCGATCATCGAGCCGTATAAAACATTTATACCTTAACGTTAACCACAAAACATCCCTTAATTGCAAATAAACCAAACAAGCTCTTGATATATTGTCTAGCTAAATAATAATCTAGAACAAGCTTTCTAGACTCGATTAAATAGCAGCATTAATCTTGGTTTTAATAAGCGCGCCTCGGGCAAGCCTCACTCCCTGGGAAATGGGCTTTAGCTAGGTGAGGCTCAGTCACCTACGAAAGGGGCGCGCCTCGTGCGCCTCAAAGTGCCTTTGGTAAGGTGCGCCTTTGCGCCTCAAGGAAAATAACTAAAATTTAAGTTATAAATTGAAGAATGATGGACATGTTTTCAAATTCAGACTACCTTAGCTTTAAATATATCATTACTTAATTTATTAAGAATCTTTTCAATTGGTATTAAGTGCTATCAAAGTAAAAAAATAATTTGAAATAAATATATAAATACATGCACCTTGCATACAAAAGGCGCGCGCCTTTGCCTTGCGCCTAGGCTGCAAGGACCATTTGCGCCTTGGTGCACCTTGCGCTTTTTAAAACTAAGGCATTAATCGCAAGGGATTAATTAACTTAAGCCACAAATCTCACAAGCTCGGACTTGTGCAACTCAATGGGTTGATAATCTTAGGTATTGTAACAAGCTTTAGTCACCTATTAAACACCTAATTGCTACAAAATGAAATTAACAAGGACAATTACGTACCTTGGGTTAAAAGTCCTAGCAATCAAACTAGTAAATTACATTAAAGATGGCCAGTCTAAAATATAAATCATATGACAAAACAGATTACCAACTCAACCAAGATGTAAATGTTATATCCTCAAAAATCACATCATTCATCCCCGCACAACATAATAATCCTGCATTTAATATATCTCCCTATCCACTAATAACTAAAAATCTAGCGTGACATATGTGGACAATTATATAACTCATATGATTAAGAGAGAGAATAAAAAATTAAGACTGAACAACTTTGTAGATCATCCAAAAATAATCAAATTGCAATTATTCTAAACTGCTTAATCTAATAAACACAATATATTTTTTGTTTTGCCAACTTTCTTCATTATAAAAAAAATCTTGGCGAAAGAAACTTAGCAAATTCTACTACTTTGTCAAACGAAATCGTTAACGGAAGTTATACACACAAAGCTATAAGCTACTTATTAAATTAGCAGTACCAATTTTTAGAGTTGAACTTTGGGGAATCAACCATGAACAATAAGCAGATTCATCTATTCCTTCTTCCCTCCTTCCTCTGCTAGCTCCAGTTTGTTCCCTCGGTACAACTCTTCCCCTCAAATATATTCCTCAAATTTATAGTTAACATAAGCCTCAAAATCATCCCCAAGTTAAACCCACAAAAATACGAACTGAATTACCAAAGAGCTCCCCTAACAGAAAGATAAGAAGCCTTTTACTCATCTCAGCTCCTCCGAGTATTTTGCTCCCATCCTCAGATTCTATCTCTATCTTTTCTTGCTTTATAATTTGATTCCCGCGAAAATCGGTGGAGGTTTTACTTTGTGGCTTACCCGCAGGAAAGAGATATGTTCATGAGCTACCTTTCCTCTTTTGTTTTAGCTAGTAAGCAGTTGATGTACTCCAAGGCCTACACTTGGCTATATGCAATGTAACATTATTAGGTTAATACACATGTGAGTTGATTAGGCTTGTCACCTTTGCTTCGTTTAATCCGAGCGGTAATACAATATCACTTTGATATCGTAATCTTCCTTTCTACAAACAAATAAATCAAATAGTAGTAACTCGTGTCTCGGGAAGAAAAATTGCTTAATAAAAATTTAAATCATTAAAAGTCAATATAAATCATGAGAATAAATAAAATAATGTACTTTTATGACCCTATCAGCTTTCCTTGTTAAAGCCCAACAAAGTATCTCCCTTAATACCTTATAATAGGAGTATCTCACATAATACCTTATAATAGGTTTTCTCTTCAAATCAATAAAATTCATATGTAGATTCTTCCTGTTCCAATAAAATGGATTGTTTCCATAGTCGATTTTCCCATAAAGCCAATTAGTTTTTCAAGATCTCATGCTTCTCCTTAACTTTTGTTTGATCACCTCCTCTCAAATTTTCATAGTATGACTCATTAGTTTAACCCCTCGATAGGTGGCATGGATATCACTATTGTTCTTAACTTCTTATACAAAGGTATTTAAGTACTATTCCTCCAAACATTTCTTACTACAAATAAATTAATTGGACTTATTTCCCCTACTCCTCAAAGACACTAGGTGAGAGTTCCTTTTTCTGAAAAAAAGTGTTCATTATAGTAGTCATATGCCAATGCAAAATTCATCATTTCTAACTTCATTCCTATCTTCATAACCAAAATCTCCATGAATGCTTTCAAACCCACCCTTAGCCCACGTGTCCATCTTGTGCCACCACTTATTCAAAATCTTCCTTAATTTGATTAGTATTTCTAGACACTTACACCAGATGAAGATACCTTCTCCATCTCTGCGGCTCTGCCCTTATCCTTTTCCGAGTACCAAAGCTTATAACCCCATGGAAATCTACATGGTCTCTTGTAGTCACGTTATGTTAATTGTTTGCTTCATAACCTCTGCTATTTCTACCAACCTTTCAACCAACCTTTTGATGAAAATCCAATATTCCATGTCCCAAAACGCATCCTACCACTCTTATTATTTCCATGAACTAGCTTCTTTACTTGTTTTAGTTTGTCATACATGAAGCTTTGCATACTTGGCACCACCTTTGGATGCTGGGATGTCAGATCACTTATAAGTCTATGAAGTGCAACACATTGCTGAGTGGGGAACACCCCCATGATATCCAAATTTCGATTCATGTCCATTCGATGTGGCTTAGATTGAGACCGGTAATGAATGCCTCTAAGTGACACTCAAAGGACGATTTAAAAGTTATTTTATTCAATCGATGCATATGAATATTTAAATATAAAAAAAAAACTAAAATTATAAATTATTCTAGAAAAATCTATTTGAATTTTTCTTGTACACGCATATTAATTTTTAGTTGTCACTAAATGAGGCGCAACACTTGACGAATGCCAAATGTCACTGTCTCGTTGCATAGACTAACGTTCAATTTTATGTTTACTTTGCATTTGTTATGTGATTAGTGAACTTTCCTATTGAACTATTGATATTAAGCCTTGACATGTTAGTACTATAAAAATGTAACACGTACGAGAATAAGAATTTTACAATGTAAGAATTTGTGATGTAAGTTAGCCACTTAGCCCTAACATGTAAGAATACACTTCACTAGAATAAAAATGTTACAATGTTTGCAACACCCTATTATTGGAGAGTTTTTTCTTTTGGTGAAAGTTGTAGTATTACCCTTATCTAACACTCATCACCCGCTTAATTATGCACCTAACAATTTTAAATGTGTTAAATCACATGAGACCCACTTTGCTTGCATATTGGGAAAAAGTGTGTTGAAAGTATTAAAAAACGGTGAAAGTATATATATTAAAAAAGCTGATCGATCACATTGTTATGGTGATAGTTTGTAACAAATGAATATAACAGAACATTGCTAGCGCAAAGGAAAAAGTTCACATTAATGATTTTAGGCGTTGTGTACATTTTGAAAACTATTTTGTAAAAATGATATAACCAAATCTATCATAGTATGGGTGGGTAACATAATTGGTGAACAAGAAATAATTACTCAGACATGCTTGTCGATGCATAAGATTGACCGTCAATATCTTTTATTATATACTTATATAAGCTATAAAAAGTTTATATTAAAAAACTAACATTAAATTAGATCCAACAACATCTTACATGACTACATTGACTTTCATATAATAGTTAAAAAAGATGGTCAAAGGGAGATGTGTGAATAATGCAAAAAATCAAAACGTTGCGAGTAATTTGGGATGGGAGAAGTAGTATTTTGACATTATTTTTTGTTTTCTGTTTCTCTTCGGTTAGTTTTTCAATATTATCCGGATTTGAATAAGTTTAACTAATTTTTGATTCAAAATGTGACATATATCATATGATTTTGTAAAACAAAAAACCAGAAAACAGAAAACCATGGGGATGCCAAACCAACGCGACGGTTAAAAAAGCATTATAACGCAACGTGATTGATGTTCATATGTCATGATGATAATCGATAATGGAGTTTCAGTTAAAGGGAATCCAAAACCCGTTACATAACGATATTTTTGAGTTACTGGTTTTTAATTCCGTGCTTAACACTAAGGCCTTTAATATTCACCTTATAGAGCCAAATTTATTATATTCTGTTTGTACTTTGAAGTTACTGATTTTTATTGATTTTAATTTTTTTTTTTTTTACTAAACTGACTTATTTTGGTTGAACTTAAATTATTTTTACTAGACTGTGATTATTATTTAAAAAGTGAAGAGAACGAGCTTTATTTCGAACTACAATGATGTGGCAAATTACTTTTGCTATGATTTGTTCTTTCTACTTCCTGACTTTAGATGTATATGGTGTACAAACATTTTATGAACTTTCATTTTAATTGATTTTTAAGAAATAACATTTTTTTTTTTTTTTTTTTTTTTTTTTGTAAAAAACAGCTTTGATTTATTCTCATTCCAATTATTGGACTGAATATCATTTCAGGTAAAGTGTTGGCAAATTAGAAGGCAATCAAAGGCTCCTCAAGCTGCGGGGGCAATCCATACTGATTTTGAGAGAGGATTTATTTGTGCTGAGGTAACTCTTTTATGCAGTTCTGAACTTGCATGATGGACTATGAAGTCTGATAATCCTTGTGCCTTGTATATTACCATATCTCAAAAGTTTGAATAGCAAAACTCTAAAATCTGGGACATGTACTCGAAAAGGTAGCAAAAATTACTAATTTGGCTGAACCCTAAAAATCAGGATAATGTTTCAAGTGGGAAAGTGCAAGCATAAATAGTGTTTGGGCATACCCTAAGATAAAACTCTCAAAACTTCCAGTATTATGTGAAATGTAATTTTTATACTTTTATTCCTTTCTCTGCTTTGAATTTTAAAGTTGGTGGTTTATTTTAGATTTGTTTCTGTTACATGTTCTCTTTTTAGGCTAGAGGCTGATAGTTGAGTGTTTTTTTTTTTTTTTGGACTATATTAAGCGCTTGGTTTCCCTTTTGATTAAGCACAAAAGTAGTATGACTTGCATCATATTGTACTTCCACTGTTATTTCTACTGCAACTTGTAGGGGATTCAAGGTATCATAGGATCCCATAGGAGATAGAGATATATATAAAAAGGGATTACATGTGCGAATAAGAAAACATATACAGAGTATATAGTTGGAACATCTATAGATGGAAACAAGTGAATTTCGGAAATCCTAAAACTGCACCAGTGACTAAATGTCTAAGCTACCAACTTTCACTTGCTTTTCTTTTGGAGTAAAGCTTAGAAATCTACTGATTAGGCCTTTTTTCCCTTAAATTATTAATAAAAAGGTGGGCAACTAGCATTCTGCTCAAATCTCATAGATATGCATCTCCTACTAATTTTTCAGGATTCAAGAGATTGTCACCTAGTAAAATGAACGTAGTTGAATTATCTTTTTATGAGCTCCTCTCTTGCAAAAAGAACTTCACCTATCTTCATTAGCTTAAATGTTGCTCCAATTATGTTGTCATCATGGAATTCTGTTCCTTTCACAATTGAAAGTGTAAGTTAAGAAACATTTCCTGAATAAAGAGGTTCCTTCATGTGGGGTACATTTAGTATAAACCATGGCCAAAGCCATTGTATTAGTCTTTCCTTGTAGGTGTTAGTTCTTTTTTGTTTTGTCCCCCCCCCCCCCCGCCCCCCTCTCCCTTCTTCCCCTCCCCTTTTTCTCTTTCACTGCAAATATGGGAGACTTTGGCATGGCTTTTCAATTAAGTGATTATGTATTTTTCTGTATTCAGGTCATGAAATTTGAGGATCTAAAGGAACTTGGCAGTGAGTCAGCTGTAAAGGTATAAGCACTACTTGCATTACTATGCTTGGGGACTGTGGATCTTGAATGTAGATGTTATGTTGTTATATATATTTTATGTTATTTTTCAGTTTCACCCTTGACATCAATGTCAGTCATGTAGATTTTAGAGCTCTATTCTAAGATTCTGATGTGGGGTCCAGTTAAACTCTGGAAGTTGCATGTGATAAGCTACAATTTGGCTGAGTTTTGAAGTCATTATCTTGCTATCTGCTGAGTTCCTTGGGTCTTAAAAACTGAATAGAATTCATGATCAGTATCCAAAGTGGTTGAAAAACTATTGTGAAGGTTTTCTTCTGTTGAGTCTTTTTCACGGCTCGATTGAAAATTTGACAGGTCAATGATTTTTTACCATATTTTAGAATATGGTATTGATGATATTGGTCTCGGGCTTTTGCCTCAGTTGGAAAGTTGATTTTTATTCTTGTTTTTGTATCACAATTTTATTTATTCACAAGTGAAAAGATATGCATTATCTATAAATTTTCACCAATTAACTAGGTGATTTTAGCATTGCTAGCTACATTATTTTATTAATGTGTTCAGTGATGTAGAGCCACTTTAATTTCTGAAATACTGTAAGGTTTTCTAATTTTCTAAGCTTCAGAACTGTCATCTATGTTTTTGTTGTCAACATGTCCTGAGCTTTTCATCAAGCAATATATGTAATTGCAGTTATAAATCTTAAAATGGATGTTGGGACTTTCTTCATGCTCATCATGTAGCTGTGTTTTGGGGGTTCAACTCCTATCTTGTCCTACAGATGAATATTTACTTTGTATTTTGCTGTAGGCAGCTCTATCTACTCCCTTGTTGGATTTCTTTTCCTTGTAGTTTAATGCCTCGAATTTGTTGGTATGGTACAGGCCGCCGGGAAGTATAGACAGGAGGGTAAGACATACGTGGTTCAAGATGGTGATATAATCTTTTTCAAGTTCAATGTTTCTGGTGGCGGAAAGAAGTAAGCTGTGATTGCTATAATCTTTAGAGAGAAGAGAGAATGTGCGAATCACTTGGTTGTGATACAAACTGGTTTATCATGGCACTAATTTGTTTATGCAACAAATCCTGATATGCATAAGTAAAATTACCTGGCACATTATAGGTTTTTTTTTTTTTTTTAATCGTTCACGATCTGTTCATTTTACTACCTATGCTGAGGTGGGCGGATTTGCTTTGTGACATAAATTATTAGAAGACAAATTATTGTTTCTGAATGGAAATGGTTTGAGAAGATTGTGGCCATAGAAGTCTGTTAGTGTCTGATTTTGATCAATATCAGGTATAACTAAACTTTCTCTGGCTACTATCGTGGACCACAATTAACATTTTTCTATTTGTTCAGGGTTGGAAGGTTTATTGGCCAAATATAATGCTCCCTCCCTCATCTTTTATTTATTTATATATATATACCCCCTCTGTGTTTTAATAAGTATCACACTTATCAAATATGGTCGTGTTTTAATAAGAGTTGCACTTCTTTTTTTGGCAAAAAACTACTAATTACTACGTATATCTTTATATTATTGAAACCCCAAAAACATGTTTAATCAACATAATTAAAGAATATAAGTATAAAAGATCATATTATCAAACATAAACTAAGGCTTTAACTCCTCTAATAAAATAGTAGGGATGACAACAGGTCGGATTTGAACCGGGTTTAAATGGACCCGAATCAGATTCGTTTTCCTACATTAGATCCAAACTCGACTCGGATCTGTCGGGTCTGGAAAGTGGAGACCCAGTTTCAGATCCGACGGGTCCAACTGATCCGGGTCCGGGTTTAGTACGTTTTGAATTTTTTTGCAATAAATGTAATGTTCGGGCTATAAAATGTATTTTAAACTTCTCTCGGGGGTTTATTAAGATCAATCTAAATTAAAGTTATACAACTTATCCAAAACTACAAAGCAACCAGCTTATACACTTTAATTCTCTTTTGAATATATATATATATATATATATATATATATATATATATATATATATATATATATATATATATATATATATATATAAACGATGGAAAAAGTACAATGTTATAATGAGCAAGCAAAAACAACGATAATGTATCCGATATGAACATCCAAAATTTATATTCATCACTACTAACATCCTCAACATTTTTTTTATAAGAACATCATCAACATTTTAACACAGAAACAAACAGTTTTATAGGGTTCGTTTGACATTGCTGTGGTTTTCTGTTTTTTGGTTTTTTGCTATATAAAAGTATATGATATATGTCACATAATGAATCAAAAATTATTTAAACTTATTAAAATCATAATAATTTTGAAAACTGACAACAAAAAAGTGGAAACACCTTTTTCTTGTTTCCTGTTTTTGGTTTTTAGTTTTAAAAAAAAAAAACAGGAAACTAAAAAACCAAAAATAATGTCAAACAAGCCCTTATTTATTTATTTATTTTTATAGAAAAATTATAAAAACGAGTAAAGAGATTCGGGTATGGGTGTTTGATCTTGATCCAAATCCGTTTTTTCTTGCAGGAACCCGACTTGTTGGGTCTAAAATTTGAAGACCCATATCCGTGAAAAAAGGATCTGGATTCATGGATCCGGGTTGGGTCAAGATCCACTGCCATCTCTATATATTAGCATGAAGATCCCTTGGGACTACTTCAAAAATGACCATCTTTTACTTGGCGTGAACATTATAGACCAATCAACTGCTCGATAAGCTTATCTATAGCAATGACTAATAGTCACCTTCTACCCTTGACGAGACAATATCTATGTGCTTTTTCGGATAATGTGAATATATTCAATTCTGGACCAATTTCCACATTTTTTTGTTACGGAATAAAATTGCCGAGATGCTTACTGTAGACCCTAATACACTCTAAGAGTCCATTTGAGTGGGTAAAACCATCTAATATGCCTTTAAACAGTCAATTTACTCGTTTACAACTTGCAGAAATATCATAAACTCAAGCTTACCACGGACATTTATGACGGCACTATATGACCTCGGGATGTTTCCACTATTATCTTATGACTTTTCGACACCAGATCATAAAACCTTCAATTTTAGAAAATTTTGACTTTTTCGGACTGGAAATAAAATTGTCGAGATGTTACCGTGGATCATAATACCTTATGAGTGTCCAATTGGGTGGATGGAAACATCCAATTTTCTATTTAGCATCCAATTTACCCATTTTCAAACACGCCTCTTGTATTGACTATAAGCTTTCACGGGGCACCTTTATGTAGCCGAATAGGGTCATATGTGGGTCGAAATAATATTATATGTCCTCGACATGCATCTCGTAGTGTTCTGTGAATTTCTGACACCGGGTCTCGACACCTCTTAAATTGCTCCGATTTCATGTACTATCACTAGTAGAAAAATAGCAATTGGCAGCGGTTCAAACTCGGTCTAAGGCACCGGTTTGAACCGATTTCTATGTGGGGGGTGCCAATTACCCCCTTTTTTGCACCGGTTCAAAACCGGTGCCTTTAATTATTTTGGCCACCGGTTAACCAGTACCTAAAATAATCTCCCGCGTTAATTTTTTTTGGCGGCAGCTAGTTTTGGAACAGGTTAACCGGTGCCTTTTCACTCAATATTTTATTTTATTTATTTATTTTTCCATTTTTCGTGCAATAATATTTTTTAAAAAAAAACACCCTGTTTCCAACAATAATATTAACCTGTAATTCCAGCAATAATATTAAATAAAATAATTAATAATATTATTATTATAATTACTAATAATAACAATATTATTAAATATTATAATAAGATACAAATAATATTAAAAACAAGAATATATATATATATAGATATAAATATTCCCAAGCGCAATACAATAAAAAAAAGTGTTTTATATATATATATATATATATATATATATATATATATATATATATATATATATATATATATATATATATATATATATTCAAATGATAGTAAGTTCAAAAGTTAACATAAATTTACAATTAAAATGCCATTTACATGTTGAAGGTGATAAAAGACGCCAACATGTCACGAACTTCATTAAGCTCCTTGATTGTCAACGGACCATCCTTTTGGACCTTGCAAAACTTAAAATACAAAAAAATTATGTAAGAATTAATTAATTAGGCAAAACAATATGTATTTTATCAAATATGACCTATATGACTTCTATTTAGCCCATTTCCTACATTTCTTATCAAATGAACTATTTCTTTCTCATAACATGTCATGCCACCTAGTTTTATGTGTCTTAGCCCTAAAAAAATTGAATCAAAAAACATTTTATCAAAGTTTAAGACGCTTTTTACTCAAAATGGCCCGAACATGGCCTATATGACTTTACTTTGCCCATTTCCTACATTTCTTATTAAATGGACTTTATTTATCTCATAAAATGTCAATATATCTAGTTATAGGTGTGTAAGGAAAGAAATCACATCAAAAGAGCATATTAACACAAAATGGCCCAAATATGGCCCACATGACTTCTATTCAGCCCATTTTTTACCTTTCTTGTCAAATGAACTTTTTATTTCTCATAGCATCTCAATGTTGGGTAATATTAGCTATCTAAGGCTAGAAATCACATCAATATAGCATTTCATTAAGTTTAACAACGCATTTTACTCAAAATGGCCCAAATATGGCCTATTTGACTTCTATGTAGCCCATTTCCTACATTTCTTATCAAATGATCTATTTCTTTCACATAACATGTCAATGTCACCTATTTTTATGTCTCTAAGCCCTAAAATGAATCAAAAAACATTTTATTAAGGTTTAAGACGCTTTTTACTCAAAATGGCCCAAATATGGCCTATATGACTTTACTTTGCCTATTTCCTACATTTCTTATTAAATAAAATTTATTTATCTCATAACATGTCCATATTATCTAGTTATAGGTGTATAAGGAAAGAAATCACATCAAAACAGCATATTAACACAAAATGGCCCAAATATGGCCCATATGACTTCTATTCAGCCCATTTTTTACCTTTCTTGTCAAATGACTTTTTTATTTCTCATAACATGTCAAGTTGGGTAATATTAGGTGTGTAAGTCTATAAGTCACATCAATATAGAATTTCATTAAGTTTAACAACGCATTTTTACTCAAAAAAGCCCCAATATGGCTTATATGACTTCTATATAGCCCATTTCCTACATTTCTTATCAAATGAACTATTTATTTCTCATAACATGTCAATGTCACCTATTTTTATGTGTCTAAGCCCTAAAATTGAATCAAAAGAGCATTTTATTAAGGTTTAAGACGCTTTTTACTCAAAATGGCCCGAATATGGCCTATATGACTTTACTTTGCCCATTTCCTTCATTTCTTATAAAATGAACTTTATTGATCTCATAACATGTAAATATTATATATTTCTAGGTGTATAAGGAAAGAAATCACATCAAAAGAGCATATTAACACAAATGGCCCAAATATGGCCCATATGACTTCTATTCAGCCCATTTTTTTCCTTTCTTGTCAAATGACCTTTTTATTTCTCATAACATATCAATGTTGGGTAATATTAGGTGTCTAAGGCTAGAAATCACATCAATTAACATTTCATTAAGTTTAACACCGCATTTTACTCAAAATGGCCCTAATATGACCTATTTGACTTCTATTTAGCCCATTTCCTACATTTCTTATAAAATGAACTATTTATTTCTTATAACATGTCAATGTCACCTATTTTTATGTATTTAAGACCTAAAATTGAATCAAAAGAGCATTTTATTAAGGTTTAAGACGCTTTTTACTCAAAATGGCCTGAATATGGCCTATATGACTTTACTTTGCCCATTTCCTACATTTCTTATCAATTGAACTTTATTTATCTCATAACATGTCAATATTATCTAGTTATAGTTGTATAAGGAAAGAAATCACATCAAAACAACATATTAACACAAAATGGCCCAAATATGGCCAATATGACTTCTATTCAGCCCATTTTTTACCTTTCTTGTCAAATGACCTTTTTATTTCTCATAACATGTCAATGTTGGGTAATATTAGTTTTATAAGGCTAGAAATCACATCAATATAGCATTTCATTAAGTTTAACACCGCATTTCACTCAAAATGGCCCATATATGGCCTATTTGACTTCTATTTAGCCCATTTCCTACATTTCTTATAAAATGAACTATTTATTTCACATAACATGTCAATGTCACCTAGTTTTATGTGTCTAAGCCCTAAAATTGAATCAAAAGAGCATGTTATTAAGGTTTAAGACGCTTTTTACTCAAAATGGCCCAAATATGGCCTATATGACTTTACTTTGCCCATTTCCTACATTTCTTATCAATTGAACTTTATTTATCTCATAACATGTCAATATTATCTAGTTATAGTTGTATAAGGAAAGAAATCACATCAAAACAACATAT